GCTGGAGCACGCGGACCTGCTTCCTTGGTGTTGCAGCGAGTAGCACCTTCTACATCTGGAACATCGACATCTTGCAGGGAATCAGACCCCTCAGGCGGAGGAGTAGCCTCTCGACGAGACATCTCGACATCACCGCCCTCACCCCGAGGACCAGCTTCTTGAACTGACTAGTTCTGCGAGGGCTCGGCAGCCGTCTTGGCTTCGGCTTGCCTCAGCCCCTCTTCAGCCCGGGCTCGTTTCAACCGTGCTATGGCCCTAGAAAAACTAAAAACAAACGACAAAATGTCAGAAAATCAAATCGACTCAAGGAAACAAAGAAAAACACGTAAACCAAGGGTAAAACTTTACCTCGCGACCTCACTCACAAAGCCTTCACTTTCCGAAGCCGGCTCGACTTCACCAGAGTCCACCTGAATAGGCGCAACTCGAGGAGCCGTCCTCCTCCTCTTCGAAGGGGTGCTCGCCGGGCTGCCTATTTCCACTACCGGAGTCGTCCTCCTCCTCTTAGCACCTACCCCTTCAGGTCTCGGCCGCGACGTCTTCTTAGCGGCTGGAAATGTCAAACATACAACAAGTGAGACACCACGCTTCAAAAACAAAGGGAAAAAAAAAGGAATCACTCTAAATAAGTAGCGCACCTACTTTCGAAGAAGTAGTATTTTTCTCGGCTGGCTTGGTTAAATGCGTCTTCTTTCCAGAACTCTTTCTTCTCTTTCTCAGGCCAGAGCTTCTGGCTCAGGTTGCACAGCTTGAGGATGTCAACATCAAGGCCAAATGGGTCTTTGCCAAGGCTGATTTGCACTAACAAAGGAAGGAACAATCACGTTAAAATTGGCTAACCAAAAAGGGCAGAAAATTAAAAAAAAAAGGGGTTTTAGCTCGGTTTACAAGGTTTTGACCTCCAAGTCCTGAATAAATCAAGTTCGGAGCTACCGGTGGATGCCCCATTGACCTTCACATAGAAGAAGAAGCGGTCCCACTCGTGAACCTTACTTGTAGGGTCTCCACCGACGATCCCGTACTTCAGGATAGTATAAAAATGACGCCATCCCCCGCGATTCAGCCTCCCACTTTTTAATATCGAGATTCTCTCGAAGATATACCAATTAAAAGGCACTTTCGGCATTCGAGCAACTGCCGTCAGACTGACAAAATGGCGGATTACAGCATGAGAAGGCTGTGCAACTGGCATCTTCCTCCGCTCGCAGTTACGGAGAGGTGATGAAATAGGAAATTGAAGGCCAAAATTCGCGAAATGGCATTCATATATACAGAAATAACCCTCCGGCGGCGTCGTTACTCTCTCGTGAACCTGAGGGATCGAAAGCTCAACTTCCCCAGGAAAGCAACACTTCACCTGAAGCTCTTGCAGCCTTTCCACAGTCATCCAGATACTCCCGTCCTTGATACCGGTTTTATGCTTCTACATTGCAATCTTCTGCGGCAGACCCTCGACCCGGCTCGCCGATTCGGAATTTTCTGATTCCATCTCGGAATCAATATCGGGGTTATCCGGCGATATCTCATCTCGGTAGCCTGAAGAAACTCCGGAATTCGAAAAAGAAGGCACGTGACTAATCCAGGCTCGCCGTGCGCGCTCGGCAAGAGAAATCTCATTGTCGTCAGAAGAAAAACTATGCGACGAAATCGACATCCTCCAAAAAGAAGAAATTTCTAGAAAGAAAAAGGAAGATCGGCGAGAGAAAAGCGATTACCACAGAGAAGAAATAAATTTCGGAAAAGAAATTCAAGAAGAGTAAAATTTCTGGGACAAGGAGACGAAGAGATAAATGTCTAATAATAAAATCAAAAGAAATGTCAACAATTCCCTTAAAAGACGCATGTCAAGATTCACACAATCTCGCCGTCTAATAAACCTTTCGCCTTTCCCGCTTGAAGAAAATCCTAATGGGTCGAATATTTAATTTATTACAAGAAGAGCCACGTGGTAAAATCCACTAGAAGAAAAGGGGAACAAAAAAGATTAAGGACGCGTCAAACTGGCTATCTCTAAGGGGATTCTTGACGAGCTAAGCTTATTGCGAGATCAAACCCACTCAACTTCATGAAGTCCGCCGAGCTGATCTAACGATCAGTCTCGCCGAACTGGGGGGGGGGGGGGGGGGGGGGGGGGAACTTATTGTTAGAGGGGAAATAAGCATGTTTCCTAAAAGGCTTTCTCTAGCAGTAACCTAAGCCTATCAAGACAAAGGAGTGCGCCGACGTAACTCTATAAAGGAAAACCTTAAAGACAACCTCAAAACTCCCAAAGAGTCGGATCAGCTAAAAGGAACATTCGATAATAAAGGAGAATTTCTATATTCTTCGAAGAATAAGGGATATTTCCATATCGCAAATATGGTAATATTTACCAAAGGAGAAAACGAAAAGGAGTTCGGAGCAACCGACCTCCTATTCTTATAAATAGAGGGACCCTGGAGCACGAGAAGAATAACTCATACAATCTAGAGAGCAGCAGAGCTAAAACCAAGAACTCCAACGCTTTCTAGTTTATCTCGCAAAACACTTTCTTTTCACTTCAGCATAACCTCTCGGTTAGAGGGGAAATAAGCATGTTTCCTAAAAGGCTTTCTCTAGCAGTAACCTAAGCCTATCAAGACAAAGGAGACTGCGCCGACGTAACTCTAAAAAGGAAAACCTTAAAGACAACCTCAAAACTCCCAAAGAGTCGGATCAGCTAAAAGGAACATTCGATAATAAAGGAGAATTTCTATATTCTTCGGAGAATAAGGGATATTTCCATATCGCAAATATGGTAATATTTACCAAAGGAGAAAACGAAAAGGAGTTCGGAGCAACCGACCTCCTATTCTTATAAATAGAGGGACCCTGGAGCACGAGAAGAATAACTCATACAATCTAGAGAGCAGCAGAGCTAAAACCAAGAACTCCAACGCTTTCTAGTTTATCTCGCAAAACACTTTCTTTTCACTTCAGCATAACCTCTCGGTTAGAGGGGAAATAAGCATGTTTCCTAAAAGGCTTTCTCTAGCAGTAACCTAAGCCTATCAAGACAAAGGAGACTGCGCCGACGTAACTCTAAAAAGGAAAACCTTAAAGACAACCTCAAAACTCCCAAAGAGTCGGATCAGCTAAAAGGAACATTCGATAATAAAGGAGAATTTCTATATTCTTCGGAGAATAAGGGATATTTCCATATCGCAAATATGGTAATATTTACCAAAGGAGAAAACGAAAAGGAGTTCGGAGCAACCGACCTCCTATTCTTATAAATAGAGGGACCCTGGAGCACGAGAAGAATAACTCATACAATCTAGAGAGCACCAGAGCTAAAACCAAGAACTCCAACGCTTTCTAGTTTATCTCGCAAAACACTTTCTTTTCACTTCAGCATAACCTCTCGGTTATACCAACCCTTGTAATCGCTTCGCCTTTGAGCTATTAATAAAGATCTTATTCTCCAAAACCTACAACTGTTAATCAAAACCCTAGTGGTGATTTTCTGGTTCAACAATTGGCGCCGTCTGTGGGGACTAAGAGAATAAATTCTTACAAACTAGCAACAACATAGATCCGAAGCGATGAGTTTTCCAACAGACAACAGCAACCTCATCCTCAACGAAGAAGACACTGTCACGCGCACTAACACACCTGCTCTCGATGAGCACGGCAACCCCATTGCGATCCCACCACCCGCAGGAGCACCTCTTGCTCCGGCCCCTGTACTTGCAACTGACTTCGCTGCAGCAATACAAGCCGCCTTACTCCCACTCACCCAAAACCTGGTATCTAAGCTGGACACCCTTCAGGCCCAACAGACCAAGTACGATGAGCAGCTCAGCACTCTAGCAGCTGCGACTACCGCAAGATCCGCACCGCTAGAGCGACGCTTAGTTTTCGAAACACCGGAGCACGGCAATATTCGAAACACAGCAGCAGCCATCGAGGAACCAACCGAGAAACTCAACTCTGAGATCGCAAAGCTGCACCAACGAATCAACGCAATTGGGTCTCAAGTCCACCACGCCAATCAAAATATTTTTTTTTATAAAATCATGCCTAAATAATTTTAAGAACATAAAACCATAATGTACAAATAACTTATATAATCTAATAAAAAAATTTCATTTGGGCCACAATTTTAGATTTAATAATATAAGCTAATTTTTTTGAACAAAAATTTACTATAAATCGATTTTTGCTATGAGCCAAAAATATTTTATGAAAAGAAACCCGCGTAAGTGTGCGAGTCCAAAATCTAGTTTCGTTTATTTTGGAAAATTTGTGATGTCACATTTTTGAAATGACATTGTTTTACACTAACTTAGATGACACATCAGATTTTTTTAATTAAACATGCTTAATTAAGACTCAACCACAAAAAATACAGTAATTCGATTAGATTAATTTTTTTTAGTATCACGACACAATTGAACAAGTCATATAAATCAAACTTGAACAAAGAAAAAATGTATCATGACAAAAGAAACCAAACAAACAAACAAATAGATTTATCAAACTATTCAGAAATATTGACTGGTCAGTTCTCTTTCACGCGGGAAAAAACGAAAGACGAAGACTTTAAAATAAATCAACTCCAATAATTTAAAGTCTCTCTTTCTTTTTCAACCTTATATTATCTTATTACTCAGAACTCTCTTTACATTGACCACATGATTATCATTACCCGTAACAAATCGTCTCGTCTTGACTTGTATTCTTTTTCATTATGGATTTCGTTATTCTTTGCTGTGTATATCTTTTAATTTGGTTGGACCAACAACTTTTTGAAATTTCTTGTAAGAAAAGTAAAACCAAAATGTTTGAAACACAAATACATTTACTCTCGTTGGTTCGTACAAAGACTTGATGGTGTCTCAATCTATATGCACTGTATATAAAGAGATGGGCATGAAACTATGTTTTGCTATCACCATTTCTGTTTTTTGTTTCTTCATTATTGATATTCAAGATAATTAAATTAGTTTAAGAAAAGAACGAAAGGCTCTTGGAACTCAATGAGTACCATTCATATTACTTTTTATTTTCTCTTCTCGTTCATATTTTATGTTCGATACGTGTCTGCAGTTCCCACTAGACACCTGTGTCGTCCTGAACAAAGGGATGCACTTCTCGAGTTCAAGAACGAGTTTGAGATTGGGAAGTCTTCTTTTGATAGGTGTTATTTTATTAATGGTAGCCATGCTAGCCCTTATCCGAAGACGGAGTCATGGGGAAAAAGCAGTGATTGTTGTTATTGGGAAGGTATCACGTGCGATACCAAGTCTGGGGAAGTGATCGAGCTAGATCTCAGTTGCAGTTGCCTCCATGGCAGGTTTCATTCGAATACCTTTGAAAACATTCGTTTTCTAACAACTCTCGATCTTTCACGTAATGATTTATATAGTCAAATCCCATCCTCCATTGGAAATCTCTCTCATCCCACCTCTCTCAACCTTTCTAATAATCATCTTTTTGGTCAGATTCCATCTTCAATTAAAAATCTTACACATCTCACTTCTCTCTATCTTCAAGGTAATCAGTTTTCAGGTCAAATTCCATCCTCAATTGGAAACCTTTCACATCTCACCTCCCTCCGTCTTTCTTATAATCACTTGTTGGGTCATATTCCGTCTTCAATTGGAGCTCTTTCACATCTTACTTCTCTCCATCTTTCTGGTAATCAGTTTTGGGGTCGAATTCCATCTTCAATTAAAAATATAAGCTAATTTTTTTCTGAACAAAAGTTTACTATAAACCGATTCTTGCTATGAGCCAAAAATATTTTATGAAAAGAAACCCGCGCAAGTATACGGATCCAAAATCTAGTTTCGTTTATTTTAAAAAATTTGTCATGTCACATTTTTGAAATGACATTGTTTTACACTAACTTTGATGACATATCAAATTTTTTTAATTAAACATACTTTTCAAATAATAGTTCAGATTTTACATATATCTAAACCACAAAGAATACAGTAATTCGATTAGATTAATTTTTTTTTTAGTATCACGACACAATTGAACAAGTCATTTAAATCAAACTCGAACAAAGAAAAAATATATCATGACAAAAGAAACCAAACAAACATAACAAAAAAAAAAAACCAAACAAACAAACAAATAGATTTCTCAAACTATTCAGAAATATTGACTGGTCAGTTCTGAAAACGAAAGACGAAAGACTTTAAAATAAATCAACTCCAATAATTTAAAGTCTCTCTTTCTTTTTCAACCTTATATTATCTTATTACTCAGAACTCTCTTTACATTGACCACGTGATTATCATTACCCGTAACAAATCGTCTCTTCTTGACTTGTATTCTTTTTCATTATGGATTTCGTTATTCTTTGCTGTGTATATCTTTTAATTTGGTTGGACCAACTACTTTTTGAAATTTCTTGTAAGAAAAGTAAAACCAAAATGTTTGAAACACAAATACATTTACTCTCTTTGGTTCGTACAAAGACTTGATGGTGACTCAATCTATATGCACTGTATATAAAGAGATGGGCATGAAACTATGTTTTGCTATCACCATTTCTGTTTTTTGCTTCTTCATTATTGATATTCAAGATAATTAAATTAGTTTAAGAAAAGAACGAAAGGCTCTTGGAACTCAATGAGTACCATTCATATTACTTTTTATTTTCTCTTCTCGTTCATATTTTATGTTCGATACGTGTCTGCAGTTCCCACTAGACACCTGTGTCGTCCTGAACAAAGGGATGCACTTCTCGAGTTCAAGAACGAGTTTGAGATTGGGAAGTCTTCTTTTGATAGGTGTTATTTTATTAATGGTAGCTATGCTAGCCCTTATCCGAAGTCATGGGCAAATAGCAGTGATTGTTGTTATTGGGAAGGTATCACGTGCGATACCAAGTCTGGGGAAGTGATCGAGCTAGATCTCAGTTGCAGTTGCCTCCATGGCAGGTTTCATTCAAATACCTTTCAAAACATTCGTTTTCTAACAACTCTCGATCTTTCACGTAATGATTTATATGGTCAAATCCCATCCTCCATTGGAAATCTCTCTCATCTCACCTCTCTCAACCTTTCTAATAATCATCTTTTTGGTCAGATTCCATCTTCAATTAAAAATCTTACACGTCTCACTTCTCTCTATCTTCATGGTAATCAGTTTTCAGGTCAAATTCCATCCTCAATTGGAAACCTTTCACATCTCACCTCCCTCCGTCTTTCTTATAATCACTTGTTGGGTCATATTCCGTCTTCAATTGGAGCTCTTTCACATCTTACTTCTCTCCATCTTTCTGGTAATCAGTTTTGGGGTCGAATTCCATCTTCAATTGGAAATCTCTCTCATCTCAAAACTCTTCACCTCAGCGGTAACAATTTTGATGGTGAAATTCCATCTTCTTTTGGCAATTTGAAACAGTTGACGGTCTTATATTTAGACTCCAATAAGCTTAGAGGTAACTTTCCCGTTGCACTACTAAATTTGACAAAGCTGAGGTCTTTATCACTTGGTTCCAATCACCTCACAGGAGCACTTCCTCCAAACATTAGCCCACTCTCCAATTTGGAGGCTATTTATGCAAATGACAACAATTTCGTTGGAACCGTTCCTTTTTCTCTCTTGACCATTTCTTCTTTGACCCATATTGATTTGTCAAATAACCAACTCAACAGGACTCTTGAGTTTGGGAATATATCTTCACCATCTAATCTAGAATGGTTACGCCTTGACGGTAACAACTTCAGAGGGCCAATCCCCAGATCCATTTCCAAATTAGTCAATCTTGAGAGGCTTGACATTTCCCATTGGAACACCCAAGGCCCAGTTGACTTCAGTATATTCTCGCATCTCAAGTCGCTCGAAGATCTTAGGTTATCTCATTTGAAGACCACAACAACGATTGACTTGAATGCAATCTCATCATGTTCCAAGTCGCTTTTTTATTGGATCTCTCAGGAAACCATGTCTCAGCCAAAAACAAAAGTTCATTTTCAGATCATCCTTCTCCGCAGATCATTTATCTATACTTGTCAGGCTGTAGTATTACGGAATTTCCAGAGTTTCTAAGAACGCAACATAGTATGGGGTTGCTAGACATTTCCAACAACGAAATCAAAGGTCAAGTGCCTAACTGGTTATGGACGCTGTCAAATCTGAAGCATGTGAATCTTTCCAACAACACTTTTATTGGTTTCGAAAGATCAACGAAACTTGGACAATCCTCTATCCTGGAAATCTTGTTTGTCTCTAGAAACAACTTCACTGGAAAAATACCTTCTCTCATATGCAAGTTGCGTTTTCTAAGCATTCTTGATTTATCAAACAACAACTTCAATGGTTCCATCCCTCTTTGCATGGGAAATCTCAGGAAAAATCTTTCAGTTCTGAACCTACGTCAGAATCTTCTTAGTGGAGGTCTTCCGAAGAATGTGTTTAAAAGTCTAAGAACGCTTGACCTTGGACATAACCAACTGGTGGGGAAGCTTCCAAGATCTTTGATCCATTTCTCTACTCTTCAAGTTCTGAATGTGGAAAACAACAGAATCAACGACACGTTTCCGTTCTGGTTGAGTTCTCTACAGAACCTGCAAGTTCTTGTCTTACGCTCCAATGCATTCCATGGAATGATACATCAAGCCTCGTTCCTCCAGTTGAAAATCATGGACATCTCACATAATCAATTCAGCGGAATTTTACCAGCAGATTGTTTTGTGAACTGGAGTAATATGTCAACTCTTGGGATAAACGAAGATCAGTCGACTGAAAAGTACATGGGAGAAGGATATTACCATGATTCAATGTTTTTGATGAACAAAGGTGTAGCATTGGAGCTGGTACGTATCCTAAAGATCCTCAGAGCACTCGACTTCTTTGGAAACAAACTTGAAGGCGAGATTCCAAAGTCCATCGGCTTACTGAAAGAGCTTCACGTACTCAACTTGTCAAGCAATGCTTTCACTCGCCACATTCCATCATCTATGGGGAACCTGACAGCTCTCGAGTCACTAGACGTTTCCCAAAACAAGCTTTCTGGAGAAATTCCCCAAGAGCTAGGGAATCTCTCATCCCTTGCGTACATGAACTTCTCCCACAACCAGCTTGTGGGTCTAGTACCTGGTGGCACTCAGTTTCGAAGGCAGCCTTGCTCTTCTTTTAAAGACAACTCGAGACTTTTCGGCTCTGCTCTTGACGAAGTTTGCAGAGATATCCAAACGCCCTCATCGCAACATTCAGAAACAAGGGAGCCAGAGGAAGAGGATGAAGAGGTGTTTAGTTGGATTGCAGCTGCAATAGGATTTGTACCTGGTATTGCGTTTGGGTTAACGATTGGATACATATTGGTTTCATACAAACCAGAGTGGTTCAAAAGTCCTTTTGGTCAAAACAAACGCAGAAGAAGGATCAGCACAACTAACTAGAGAGGTAATGTACTGAATTTGAAAGAATAAAGTCTATATATATTACAAATAAGTCAAATTAACGTATATTCTTGTTTGTGCAGCCCTTTTAAACCCAAGTTGGAGAATCATTGAAAAAGTGGATGAAGCAACCAACCCAAATGGACTGGAGAGAAAGAAGCTTGGGGTAGAAGGCAACCCATTTATCATTGTCATAATTTCAGCTATTGTTTCCGTTTTACTCTGTTTTTGGTGTGTTTCTAATTTAATCTGTTTTAGCCAATGTTTGTATTTATCTGTAATTGAACAATGTTTTCAAAGCTCAAACTTATTCATATTTTATTAGATGGACATGAATTCAGAGGGGTAGTAATGTTCTTTACTCCGACTGGGTCAGACCAAATCAATCCAAATGAAGAACAAAGATTCAATACACATCTCAGAAGATTTGTTTTTTTGTGTGTGTGTGGTAACTTTGTCTTTGCGTTTCAGATGTACTATAGTTGAAGTTTTAAGTTACAGTTGACTTTTTTTCTTCTAAAGTTGAGCACTGCCAGCTTTGATATCACAATGATAAAATAATTTCAAATGACTCAACTCTGAATAGAACTGTACAAACATAGTTATGGTCCAATCATAAGAGAATTCATCATAAGATATCTTTAGTAAAACAATGGACTTTATATTACATAAAGAGAAGTGAAAACAAACAAGACATCTCTTTTTTGCCGGCAAACAAGACATTTTACTAGAAGTCTACCAATTAAAAGTCTACCATCAAATAAATTTATTCGATTACCTTTACCAAGCACTTTCTCTATCCTCACCCAATTCTGTCGCTTTTTACTCCTTGTCCTCGCCGGAATTCTGCTAAATAAAAACAAAAATTGCGGTTATAAACTTCGACAATAATCTAGATCTACAAATCCGAAACCAAGGTTACCATCAAGAAAAACCATAGATCTACAAATGGAGACAAATCGACGGTGAAGGATTTTACTATTCACTCGCCGTGAAACAAAGCAGCCGTCAAATGGCGCCGCCGTCTGTCGTAAGGAGACGCCGCCGTAAGAGAAGATGTAGACGCCGCCGTCGCAGGTTCGGGAAGCTCGGGAGCTCTACCTTTACTCCACCGTCGGTGCTCTTCACCGCCGTAATCGGAGATTTTGGGATTCTTCAAATCGGGCACAAAATCTCCTTCCCTCGCGAGCTGATTTTTTTTTTTTAAGGTTTTTTTTTTTCAAAAATCTTTCTTTTATCAATTTTATTATTTTTGATTATTTTTTATCAAAATAGCATTTTCGTTATTATATCTAAAATTTAAATTTTGATGTATTTGCACAATTTTGTAAGTTTATTTTAGTTAGTCAGTTGTAGAAAGATGTTATTCTACTCAATACCGATTTTAAAAGTAACTCTTTTTTTATACAAAGTGTGTTTGTTCTTACATCTTTTATCGTATCTTCTCATGACATCGAATATGGAAATTCGATATATTATTTGAAATTCACAAAAGTAGTAATCACAGCACTCTAATCTTCACGTCTTGTGTGTTACATAGTTTCTAGTAGTTCCACAAATTTTCAGCTTACAGAAGGCTTCTTTCACTCAACCTATTTATTAGGGTCTTAATTCCAGTTATTGTGTGTTTCTCTTTCACTCTGTTTGAAACGGTTATCTCTAGCTATCACAACAATCTTTTCTTACTTTTTTTGTGTGTGTAACGTCTATGATTATCTAATTTCCTTTTCATTAAGACTTTTCGTTATTTTTATTATTTATAGCTTAAAACTTGGTTGGACCAACGACGTTTTGAATTTTTGTAAGAAAAAATAAAGAAAAATGTGTGGAAATTTGAGTATTCAACACGAAGACTTTTTACTCATGGACTTGTTCAACACAAAGACTTGTTTTTTTTTTCTTTTTTTGAACAATAATATCATAGTTGTTACGAGCAGGCTTATCTAAAGAAGATATTTGGATCAATGTTCAACAGTAAACATAATCAGCTTATCCATGTTTTTGTAGGAAAATAACTTAGCAGGGACTATGAACACTGATGCAGTGATGCTGGTAAATTTATAAGCACAATTAGCAATGAACATGTTCATAGAATCAACAATATAATAAACAGTGCAAAATAATTAACATCCGGCAAATATGAGGCAAAATTACCTCCTTGGTCATTGCTGGGCTTCTTAGAATTGATTAGAGGATAACGAAGAATCAACATAAGTAAACCCCTATGTGGTGGAAGAAAGTCGATTAAATTAAAATTAAAATGATGTTTCTTGGGACAAAAGAGATAATTTTTGGGAATATATTCTTTTAACATTATATTCAACACAAATACTCTTCGTACAAAGACGTGATGGTGAATCGATCTGAGTGAATCTGGAGCACCGTCTTTGTGTATATATAGAGATGGGCATTAAACTATATGAGTAGCACCATTTCCTTATTCTCTTTCTTCATTATTGATACTGGAACTTGATAGAGGGCGGAAGCTATAATTAACAAGAAAAGGGATCAAACTCTCCAGGAGAATTCAAGCTTCTTTCGGATCTTGTTCGAAGTCGAGATAGACTAAGAACAACAGATTTGAGAATATTCTTCTCAGTGCTTGTAAAAGCTCTTTATTAAAATCCAAATCAATAATCAAGTTGTTTCATCATACAACGAGAAAACCGTATAAATAGAACCTAAGACGATCAGGTCAAATCTTAAAAACATATCCTACGAAGATTTAAACTTATCTTCCAAACACTTATCATATTCTAAAGAAGTAATAATAAAACCAAATATAAAATGATAACTTGTCAAATAAGTAACGTTGCTTGATAACAATGGTAACGATGCTGCATCAGTCTCCCCGGGTTTGAAAAGATTCGTCCCTGAATCTGGATCATCGTATGCGTAACACCAATTGTTCTCGAAGACCCGGTCGATAAGCTACACGAAGATGCGTAGAAACTCTTCTTTGCTGCTTAGAAACGCTGTGATGCCACGTAAGTGACATGGTTGGGAAGGTCATGATGGATTCGGGTGTGAACGGAATTAGAGGAAACACACAAGTGCTGAGAGCCCATGATGCCCATAATAACTTAAACTCTTCGGTGTACGTGAAATCAAAGACCATAAAAGAATCAGAAGGAGGAATCAAAAACCCAGACAACAACGACAAAGCGAAGACTTATACTCCCTCATGCTCTGCTTTGTTCAAGTCCATGAAAAGACCAACATATGAGATCAAACCACTGAATATCACACCCCAAATGACACTGAACATGCATTCCTAAAAGGATCTTGCGTTGAAAGTTATCAAAGAAGGAGTGGGATCGAGACGTCAGTTCACCAAACAAGGTGCCGCAAATAATAACGTCACGAATAAGATCAATTAATTGGTGCCACTGTCTACTAAGTCGGAACAACTCTTCATTATGCGAAGCTAAAACAATATAAACCAGCTTGCTTAATTTGCAAGTAACTGCACAACACCAAATATTTAGCATGTATGTGGCAGTAAAACTCCATTGTGGAGTAGACACAACTCCCGTTCCGTGCTGAAATCTATAGGGTAACCAAATCGTAGAATCATCAATGTCCGCGAAGACAAAGGCTACGACAAAACCGAATCTAGAAAGCAACCAGTGGTCGTACGACATCGGAGTCTCCAGCATGAACACGTCATTAATACAACCAACTACCGCATGTAAATCATACCGAGAAAGTGGTAGAATCAGACGAAAGCACTCGTAAGCCAATAGAAAACACGTTGAAGTGCGAGTATGAGAGAACCGGAAATTTAGATATTCTTTGACCAATATTAGACAAACTGCACTTACGTACGCACTGCTGTCCTCAAGAGGTGGCATTCTGCTCGTCGAAAAAACAACACTATCCCGCCTTCTAACAGCCTTCTCCCCCTTAAGAACTGCAATTACCTTGTCAAAGAGCTTCAACTGTCGCATACGCTCAGCTTCTACGCGTCTCTTAAAAGCGCCACGTTTCAATCGAAATTGAGACGTGACAGTAGAGAAGAACAACACGGGCCTAGTTCTGAGTATGTGGAGAACAAACACCAATGCTATTAGAACCCATGGTGGCAACATAAAAATATACAACTCCCTGGCAGCGAGTATGTAGACCATACGATAGTCGAATCGAGGCATTAGACTTTGAGAAAAAGAGACCAAACAAGTCTTACTTTGGACTTTCGCAAGCTGCACTTCACCATTTTGCATTGGAAGCCCCATGTAAAACAACACACTATGGCTAAGAGAAGCCCACTTGACTTTGATCTTGTGCGTCCTTGTTGCTACAAAACGACCCCCACGAGTTATGAGGTCAAATATGTGATGTTGGTGTAAACACGGCAACTCCCTCACATCGCAAAAAGAGACTATATCTTTCACTGGTATTTTTGACCTTTCCATAAGAAAAGTAGAACATGTGGCATGCATGTAGACTATATTACTCGAAAGATCTACATAAGAACTCATATCATGGAAGAGTAAATCCCAGTGGCCATTGAACTCGTACTTTCTTTTATCCGCGAAAAGACGTACATGAAGGACGAACTTAAGGAATTGGTGGTGACGTGAATAATGTACTTTGAACATGACTCCAACAATAACTATATCTTTGAAAAGATGCACCATGACTTTCAAACCAAGCCACATAATAGGAAAACTTGATCTCAGTCGCGGCTGAAACCACTCCGTAAGATTCTCGCAACGTATGTTTTGACAACCATCACCACTACCCCATATGAACAAAGAGAACCAAGTGGATCGCGGTGAAGACTCAGCAATGTTATATAGTTTGAAGTTTGAACACGTCACTCTCACGGGGAAAACCATGGAAGAAGTTAGACTGAAAATAGAACAGCAACCGACATCTCAAACCCACGTTCACACCTGCTCGGCACAAGACACCATTAAGAACCGTTGGCGGTGGTAATGGTGGTAACACGGGGTCATGTACCAGCATCGTGAGTTTTCGGTTAGCACAAGAAACGCTTGTAACGTCATTCTTCTTCACATTGTGTGTAACATTTTGCACATCAAAATTCCAAAAAATCTTGAGACTATGTGTAGGACACATGCGCTGCAATAGGCTTCCTCCACACTTCTCATATTGGAGATTCTGAACGTCAAAATATGCAGTAGTAGAAAGTAATATAAAGCATTGACAATCCTTTCTTCTTTCACAAGTTTCTGGAGCTCATGCTTCATATGTATTGAGAAATAGACGCATGGAATTAATGACCATATCATACGTCCTCGTAAACCCATGTAATAAGTGCATCATAGTTATGAAACTTCCATCACATAAATCCACCATGTGTCGCTTATTTGAAGCAAAAGCTTGAGCTGTGAAATATAATTCAATAGGATCTACGATATATACCTCCTCATCGTACAAGACAAACTGACGAGAAGATGAAATTAGGACTGGCTTTCCTTGTCTAACATCCCAATTCAGAAACTCCATTGATGAACTACACACAATGATATTCTCATATGTGTGTTTTATCGTGTAGCGCACACATACATCTTCTCTTGTTAGTCCATCTTGTTGTAGAATTTGAGACAACAAATTATCGCATGGACCACGATCTGGTGGCGCATCATAGATAACAAACACTGGATCAACATAGGGGGCAATATAGATCTCGCCATCACAAGCTTGAATCTCGTCATCAAAATCCCGAAAATCACCACAATCTTTGTCAACATTGCTGTCAAAAACCGTTGTAGCATGGACCTCGTTGGAGAGATCTTTATCATTGCAACAAAACAAATTTTTGCTGCGACACCGATCTAGAGGTTCGTTCTTGAGCTGAACATGTTGTCCAAGTGTTATATCTTTCACCTTTTTATTTCTGATGACAGGTATATCAGTCTTGCGAAATAGGTTATAATATTCATTTCCTTGACTTCGAAGACTTGATTTTCTTCTGCCCCATGTTCAAAACATAGAATCGATAAATTAGTGTTGGAAACAACGATAACCTGGAGCTTTTCATCCTCGCAGCATCTATCAATGATTGGATCTGCCTCCTCACAAGCATTGAAGATTGGATATGAATCATCATAGATATCAATGATTGGATTTTCATGATAGTCATGTTCCATAGCAGTTAATTCATCACCATAAACATCATAGATGGGTTCATCGAAGATGTCTTTGTCACGATCAACTTGCTGAATAGAATTTTGAGATGAAGCCTGGAAATTCTCCAACATCGCAAAGAGAGTCTCACAAAGCTTTTTCCATTCATCGACACGATTGTAGATATGCTTCGATGGCATGATTGGTGTGGAAACAGTTGATAGAATCGTTTGGCTCTGATACCAACTGATAGAGGGCGGAAGCTATAACAAGAAAAGGGATCAAACTCTCCAGGAGAATTCAAGCTTCTCTCGGATCTTGTTCGAAGTCGAGATAGACTAAGAACAACAGATTTGAGAATACTCTTCTCAGTGCTTGTAAAAGCTCTTTATTAAAATCCAAATCAATAATCAAGTTGTTTCATCATACAACGAGAAAGCCGTATAAATAGAACCTAAGACGATCACGTCAAATCTTAAAAACATATTCTACAAAGATTTAAACTTATCTTCCAAACACTTATCCTATTCTAAAGAAGTAATAATAAAACCAAATATAAAATGATAACTTGTCAAATATTACTTTTTCTTTTCTCTTCTCCTTCATATTTTATGTTCGAAACCTGGATGCGGTTCCTACTAAACACTTGTGTCGTTCGGAACAAAGAGATGCACTTCTCGAGTTCAAGAACGAGTTTGAGATCCTAAAGCCTTCTTTTGATAGGTGTTATTCTATTAATGGAAACATAACAGTGATTGCTGTTATTGGGATGGTATCACGTGCAATACCAAGTCTGGGGAAGTGATCTCGAGCTAGACCTCAGTTGCAGTTGCCTCCATGGCAGGTTTCATTCGAATACCTTTCGAAACATTCTTTTTCTAACATCTTTAGACCTTTCATATAATGATTTATATGGTCAAATCCCCTCCTCAATTGGAAAGCTTTCTCATCTCACTTCTTTCAACCTTTCTCGTAATCATTTTTTTGGCCAGATTCCATCTTCAATTGGAAATCTTACACATCTCACATGTCTCGAACTATATGGTAATCGATTTTCGGGTCAGATTCCGTCTTCAATTGAAAATCTTTCAAATCTCACCTCTGTCGCTCTTACTGATAATCAGTTTTCAGGTCTGATTCCGTCCACAATTGGAAACCTTTCACATCTCATCTGTCTCTTTCTTTCTGCAAATCAATTTTGGGGTCAGATTCCATCTTCAATTACAAAGCTCTCTCGTCTGGAATATCTTGACCTGAGTGATAACAATTTTGATGGTGAAACCCCATCTTCTTTTGGCAGTCTGAAACATTTGACCAACTTAGATTTAGAATCTAATAATCTCAGCGGTAACTTTCCCATTGCAACACAAAATTTGACAAAGCTATTGTCTTTATCACTGAGCTCCAATCAACTCACGGGAACGCTTCCACCAAACATTGCCTCACTCTCCAACTTGGAGTTTTTTTACGCAAGTGGCAACGCTTTAGTTGGAACCGTTCCTTCTTCTCTCTTCACCATTCCTTCTTTGGCATATATTGGATTGTCATATAACCAACTCAACGGCACTCTTGAGTTTGGGAATATATCTTCACCATCTAGGCTAAATGAGTTATACCTTGGCGGTAACAACTTCAGAGGGCCAATCTCCACATCCATTTCCAAATTAGTCAATCTTGAGATACTTGACCTTTCCCATTGGAACACTCAAGGCCCCATTGACTTCAGTATATTCTCGCATCTCAAGTCACTTTATCATCTTGACCTCTCCCATCTGAACACCACAACAACGATTGACTTGAATACACTCTCATCATTTTCCAAGTCAGTATTGAATCTCTCAGGAAACAATGTTTTAGCCACAAACAAAAGTTCAGTTTCAGATCATCCTTCGCAGCTTATATATTTATACTTGTCAGACTGTGGTATTACCGAAGTTCCAGAGCTACTAAGAACCCAACATAGTATGAGAACTCTAGACATTTCCAACAACAAAATCAAAGGTCAAGTTCCTGGCTGGTTATGGTCACTGCCAAAACTTGAGTACATGGATTTTTCCAACAACACTTTCATCAGTTTCGAAAGATCAATGAAACAAGGACTATCGTCTGTCATGGAGCACTTGTTTGGCTCTAAAAACAATTTCACTGGAGAGATTCCATCTCTCATATGCGAGTTGCGTTCTCTAACCACTCTTGATTTATCAAACAACAACTTCAATGGTTCAGTCCCTCTTTGCATGGGAAATCTCAGGAGAAATCTTTCAGTTCTAAACCTTCGCCAGAATCGTCTTAGTGGAGGTCTTCCGAATAATATATTTGGTAGTTTAAGGTCGCTTGATGTCGGTCATAACCAACTGGTGGGAGAGCTTCCAAGATCTTTGATTCAGTTCTCCACTCTTGAAGTTCTGAATGTGGAAAGCAACAGAATCAATGACGCGTTCTGGTTGAGTTCTCTACAAAACCTGCAAGTTCTTGTCTTGCGCTCCAATGCATTCCATGGACCGATACATCAAACATCGTTCATGCAATTGAAAATTATGGATATCTCACATAATTACTTCAATGGAACTTTGCCATCCGATTATTTTGTGAGTTGGAGTGCAATGTCATCACAAAGGATAAACGAAGATGGTAAGCATTCTGAAAATTACATGGGAGGAGGCTATTACTACGATTCACTAGTTATGATGAATAAGGGAATAGAGATGGAGCTGATACGTATCCTAAAAATATACACAGCACTTGACTTCTCTGGAAATAGACTTGTAGGTGAGATTCCAAGCTCCATCAGCCTATTGAAAGAGCTTCATGTACTTAACTTGTCAAACAATGCTTTCACTGGCCACATACCATCATCTATGGGGAACCTGACAGCTCTAGAGTCACTAGATGTTTCCCAAAACAAGCTTTCTGGAGAAATTCCACAAGAACTAGAGATATCCACACGCCGCAACCGTCTGAAACGCCAGAGCCACAAGAAGAAGAAGACGAAGAGGTGTTTAGCTGGACTGCAGCTGCAATAGGATTTGTACCTGGTATTGTGTTTGGATTGACGATTGGATACATATTGGTTTCATACAAACCAGAGTGTTTCTCGAGTCTTTTTGGCCGAAACAAACGCAGAAGCACCACAACTCATTAGAGAGGTAATCTTCGGAATATGACAAGGCAGATAAGTTATAATAGAACTTTCTGGATGAACGCATATGTGAAATTAACGTATACTTTTGTTTGTGTAGCCTTCTTAAACCCAAGTTGAAGGATCTTTGAAAAAAGAGAAAGAAGGCAAACAATATATCAATGTCTTAACTTCAGTTATTGTTTTCGTTTACTCTGTTTTTGGTGTGTTTCTCTTTTGCTCTGTTTTGAGCCACTGTTTGTGTCTTCAAAGCACAATCTTACTCATATTTATTAGACAGACATGATTATACAAACATAGTTAAGTTCCAATCATAGACATAAGAGAATTTATCAGAAGAGATATCTTTACTATAACACTGGTTGTATTTTTTTTTTTTAAGTAAAAATGGTCTTTTTGAGTAACCAAATGCCATTCCACATTTTCCAAGCAATCGAAGATTTCCATTAGGTAATTGAGATGACTTCCTGAAGAAGGTAAGAGAAATGACGGCATGGTATTCAGTCAAATAAAACTGCATCGGAGTCAAATCAGAATAAGCATCGGAGGTTGTTAGAGAAAGTCGACTGTAAAAGAAGTAGTCACCGTAGAATCAAAAGATTCCGAACAGAAATCAGAGAAACAGAAGACGAAGACGACATTGGAAAACTCACCGGAAAGAACTGCAGTTATTCTTTGTCTTGGTCTGTAAGTACCAAGGTTTGAGGCTAAATCGATTAATAGAGCCTACCGGTACACTCAGAAGCTCCGTCAAGTCTCTTGTCAGATATCCTTTGTCGGGTCCTATTGAATCGAATGAAATTAAAAGGCTAACTTAACATTTTAACAGGATATTGGAGGAGCCTTGCAAGTCAAGTTTCTGTGTGTACTAAATAAAAAAAAACCATTCTGTGCGCTAAACGAAATTTTGTAATGGGCTTAAGGTTTTTTGTTTGTAAGAAGAAGACTCGCAGATTTGCGTATGAAGCAAGTTTACTGCAGCCTGTTTAAACACAAAATCTTGGAGGATTATTTGAAGTTTAAGAGTCATTCTGGAGATTTCAGCGTCAGGGATATAAATTTGATTTATCTCGAGAAATTGGCAGGTTTGAAAATAGATCATCATATATCAAAGATTCGACCGAAGCAAAGGCAGGAAAATGGATCAAGAGAAACTCAACGTATAGACTCTGCTTGGTAAGTCTCACGTGGTTCAGAATTGCTACTTCGGAGACAGTTTGAAAATTCCCACAATTAAAAATTGGTTAAGAGTATTTGAGATGGCTGCAGGAGACACGTGTTCTGATTATAATTACAGAAGGATAAGTGTGAAAAGTTGAGACAACTTTTTCTAAACTTTCTCCCTACATATATACTTATATATATTGTTTATGTGGAAAATGAATGAAAACGATATTGCTTAGGGAGAAATTGATTGAATACATGCGATCAGAGGATAACGAAGAATCAATATACAAACAAAAAAACCTTAAGCCCGTAATTGAGTGGAAGACAATCGATCGATGATTAAATATCTTGGGGACAAAAGACGATGACTTGAAAAGCAAGTCAACTCCGGTCTAATTCCTTATTGTCCAACCAATAATTTCAACTCTCTCTTTCTTCTTCAACCTAATCTTCTTTCTCGTAATTAATACTCTTCACATCGACCACATGTTTCTTCCTCCAGCGAACCGTAATTTTTTGTTTTTTTTTTTTTTTTTTTTTTGCTAAAGAAACCGAACCGCAAAATTGGCAAATCAATCATTAACCGTACTAGTAATAAATCATCTCTTCGTGTCTTATATTCTTATCTAATTCCTTTTTCACTAAGGCTTTCGTTTCTGTGTATAGCATATAATTTGTCCTAGCAACTTTTAAAAATATCTTGTGAGAAAAGTAAAAGCCAAAGTTGATGGGAACTCGACTATATTCAAGACACATACTTTTACTCTCTTCGTACAAACTACAAAGACTTGATGGTGAGTCAATCTGAGTGAATTTGGAGCACCGTCTGTATTCAATGTATATAAAGAGATGGGCATGAAACCATGTTTTCCATTTTTCGCTTCTTCATTATTGATATTCAAGAAAATTAAATTAGTTTAAAAAGAAGAACGAAAGGATCTGGGAACTCAATGAGGACCATTCATATTACTTTTTCTTTTCTCTTCACGTTCATATTTTATTTTCCAAACGTGTCTGCAGTTCCTACTAGACACGTGTGTCATCCTGAACATAGGGATGCACTTCTCGAGTTCAAGAACGAGTTTGAGATCAGAAAGCCTTGTAATTATGGGTGTTATGTTAATGGTAGCCCTGTAAGGCCTCGTCCGAAGACGGTCACATGGAAAAATAACAGCGATTGTTGTTATTGGGATGGTATCACGTGCGATGCCAATTCTGGGGAAGTGATCAAGCTAGACCTCAGTTGCAGCTGCCTCCATGGCAGGTTTCATTCGAATACCTTTCAAAACATTCCTTTTCTAACAACTCTAGACCTTTCATATAATGATTTGTATGGTCAAATCCCATTCTCCATTGGAAAACTTTCTCATCTCACCTCTCTCAACCTTTCTCGGAATCATCTTTTTGACCAGATTCCATCTTCAATTGGAAATCTTACACATCTCACGTTTCTCGAACTTTATGGTAATCAATTTTCGGGTCAGATTCCGCCTTCAATTGAAAATCTTTCACATCTCACCTCTCTCACTCTTACTGATAATCAGTTTTTGGGTCAGATTCCATCTTCAATTGGAAATTGTTCATATCTCACCTCTCTCTATCTTTCTGATAATCAGTTTTGGGGTCAGATTCCATCTTCAATTACAAAGCTCTCTCATCTCGAAACTCTTGACCTGAGTAATAACAATTTTGATGGTGAAATCCCATCTTCTTTTGGCTGTTTGAAACAGTTGACCGACTTAGATTTAGAATTAAATAATCTGAGTGGTAACTTTCTCATTGCACCACAAAATTTGACAAAGTTGTTGTCTTTATCACTGAGCTCCAATCAACTCACAGGAATGCTTCCTCCAAACCTTAGCTCACTCTCCAACTTGGAGTTGTTTTACGCACGTGACAACGCTTTCGTTGGAACCTTTCCTTCATCTCTATTCACCATTCCTTCAGCTTGGGGTATTCAATTGACGAATAACCAACTCAACGGCACTCTTGAGTTTGGGAATATATCTTCACTATCTAAGCTAAATGAGTTAGACTTTGGTGGTAACAACTTCAGAGGGCCGATTCCTAAATCCATTTCCAAATTAGTTAACCTCGCAGAACTTGACCTTTCCCATTGGAACACCCAAGGCCCAGTTGACTTCAGCATATTCTCGCATCTCAAGTCGCTTGATAGACTTGGTCTCTCCCATTTGAACACCACAACAACGATTGACTTGAATGCAATCTCATCATTTTTCAAGTCACTCCGGCAACTAGATCTCTCAGGAAACCATGTTTTAGCCACAAATAAAAGTTCAGTCTCAGATTCTCCTTCGCAGATGATAAGTGATTTAAACTTGTCTGGCTGCGGTATTACTGAATTTCCAGAGCTCCTAAGAACCCAACATAGTATGAGAACTCTAGACATTTCCAACAACAATATCAAAGGTCAAGTTCCTGGTTGGTTATGGACACTACCAAATCTGTATTACGTGGATCTTTCCAACAACACTTTCATCAACTTCGAAAGATCAATGAAACATGGACTATCCTCTGTCCTGGAGCACTTGTTTGGCTCTAAAAACAACTTCACAGGAAAGATTCCATCTCTCATATGCGAGTTGCATTCTCTAAGCACTCTAGATTTGTCAAACAACAACTTCAGTGGTTCAATCCCTCTTTGTATGGGAAATCTCAAGAGTAATCTCACAGTTCTGAACCTTCGTCAAAATCATCTTAGTGGAGGTCTTCCGAAGAACGTATTTAAAGGTCTAAGAACACTTGACCTTGGACATAACCAGCTGGTGGGAAAGCTTCCAAGATCTTTGATTCAGTTCTCCACTCTTGAAGTTTTGAATGTGGAAAGCAACAGAATCAACGACGCGTTTCCGTTCTGGTTGAGTTCTCTACAAAACCTGCAAGTTCTTGTCTTACGCTTCAATGCATTCTATGGACCGATACATCAAGCCTCGTTCCTTCAGTTGAAAATCATGGATATCTCACATAATTACTTCAATGGAACTTTGCCATCCGATTATTTTGTGAGTTGGAGTGCAATGTCGTCACAAGGGATAAACGAAGATCCTAAGCATACTGAAAAGTACATGGGAGGAGGCTATTACCACGATTCAATGGTTTTGGTGAGTAAAGGAATAGAGATGGAGCTGGAACGTATCCTTAAAATCTACACAGCACTCGACTTCTCTGGAAACAGACTTGAAGGAGAGATTCCAAAGTCCATCGGCTTATTGAAAGAGCTTCATGTACTCAACTTGTCAAACAATGCTTTTACTGGTCACATACCATCATCCATGGGAAATCTTACAGCTCTGGAGTCACTAGACGTTTCCCAAAACAAGCTTTCAGGAGAAATTCCACAAGAGCTAGGGAATCTCTCATTCCTTTCGTACATGGACTTCTCCCATAACCAGCTTGTCGGTCTAGTACCTGGAGGCACTCAGTTTCGAAGGCTGAACTGCTCTTCTTTTGACGACAACTTGGGACTTTTCGGCCCTGCTCTTGAAGATGATTGCAGAGATTACCACACGCCCTCATCGCAACGGTCTGAAACTAAAGAGCCAGAAGAAGAAGATGAAGAGGTGTTCAGTTGGATTGCAGCTGCAATAGGATTTGTACCTGGTATTGCGTTTGGGTTGGCGATTGGATACATATTGGTTTCATACAAACCAGAGTGGTTCACGAGTCCTTTTGGCCGAAACAAACGAAGACGCAGAAGCACCACAACTCATTAGAGAGGTAATGTTCAGAATTTTAAAGAATAAAGACTTATTATCATAGAACTCTCTAATTGAACAAATAAGTCAAATTAACGTATATTTTTGTTTGTGTAGCCCTCTGAACCCAAGTTGAAGAATCTTTGTGAAATAGAATGGAGTAATGGACTGTAGTGAAAGAAGCTTGGGGAGAAGGCAACCCATATATCTATCAGTATTTTAATTTCAGTTATTATTTCCATTTACTCTGTTTTTGGTGTGTTTCTCTTTTACTCTGTTTTCCGCCAATGTTTGTATTTATCTGTAATTGAACAATATTTTCAAAGCTCAGACTTATTCATTTTTTATTAGATGGACATCAATTCGGAGGGGTAGTAATGTTCTTTCTCCGATTGGGTCAGACCAAATCAATCCTAATGAAGAACAAAGATTCAATACACATCTCAGAAGTTATGGTCCAATCATAAGAGGAGTTTACTAAAAAAGAGAAGTGAAAACAAACGATACATATCTCTTTTTTGCCGGCAAACAAGACATTTTATCAATGAGATGCAATAGGGCTGGGTCAATAACTACTAAATTCTTAGTATTTTTTTGTTTTATATAAATTCTTATCTTCTGTAATTAATCAAGTTACTTAATTACAGCATCACAAATCATATAATTCTGAACAAATTGGAATAAAAAAAAAATGAATCATGCCAAAAGAAACTAAACAAACAAATAGATAACAGAAATATTGACTGACCGATTACGAAAGTCAGTCATGGAGAGCAGCGTAAGGTAAAGATTAGATTATTAGAGAGTGATGATGTTTCACAAAGGACAAAAGACCAAGACTTGAAAAGTCAACTCCGGTCTTCTTCCTTTTTGTCTCACCAATAATTTCAATTCTCCATCAATCCCATCTTCTTCCTCTATCCTCTGAACATCGACCACATGGTTCTTCTTCATCTATTCACCTCCAATACTTGACTTTCACTATTGACTCTCTTCCACTCTCTCTCTAGATTTTCCGTCAAAGCTATGGAGAATCTCTGTTTTCGAGACTCTGTATCTCTCTTTATGACGATAGTGTTTATTCTTCTTCTTCCTCTTCTCACTCTTTCTGCTACTTCTCGATATTCTCTTCCCGATAAGTTTTACGTCAACTGTGGATCGGATTCTAGTGTCACTTACGGCGATCGGACCTTCGTCGGAGATATGGCCTCCGGTAGTAACTCTGTTTCCTTCACCACGAAAGGAACTGAAGCCAGCAACCAATCTGGATCGTCCACTGCGCCGGAAATCTATCGGACGGTTAGGATATTCAGACACACTTCTTCTTACAAGTTCCAAATCGATCCTGTTGGTTTCCACTTCGTGCGTCTCCATTTCTCTGCTGTGTCTTCTCGGACAGAGCTTTTAACTGCTCGTTTCACCGTCTCTGCTACTTCTGGTTCTACTCATCACTTTAAGAGTTTCCCCGTTCAGAATTTAAATGAGACTTCCCGAATTGAGGAGTTTCTCCTGATGATCAATTCGCCAGATTTCGAAATCCGATTTGTTCCCGATCATTCATCCGTGGCTTTCATCAACGCCATTGAAGTGTTCTCTGCTCCTGACGACCTCGAGATCACACCAGACTCCGACAAGAATCTGCATACGATTTACAGATTAAACGTAGGAGGCGAGAAAATCACGCCGGAAAACGACACATTGGGACGAACTTGGTCGCTAGACGACGACTTCCTCTACCAAAAAGACGCTGCGAGAAACAATAAAACAACACAAAAGCCTAACTACGATTCAGGGTCAGCGACGATATACACAGCTCCTGAATTTGTCTACCAGACGGCTAAAGCAATCAACCGTAGCTCGAATGAGTTAACGGATATGTTGATGAACATTACTTGGTCGTTCAAAGTCAGACGTAACTCAAAGCACTTTATCAGGGCTCACTTCTGCGACATCTTGAGCCAGTCACAAACCCCCGACTCCGATTTCTATCTCTACGTAAACGGGCGTGTGCGAAGAGATGTAAACCCTTCGGAGCAGGTTAGGTTGGTCACTCCGTTTTATATCGACGTCGTGAATGTCTCTGATGGCTCTGGGCTCTTGAATGTTAGCATAGGTACTAAGGAACGTCGCAAGGAAGCTGGCTTTCTGAATGGTCTGGAGGTGATGGAGTTTCTACAAGGCTCTGATTCTTCAGATAAAAATAGCAGTTCCCGTGTCTACATAATTGCTGGCTGCGTTGCTGCTGGATCGATTCTGGTCTTGAGTTTGTTGTTTATGGTTTTCTTGAAACGGAGGAGATCGTCGAAGAAGGAGAAGCTAGACGGTGAGGCCACTGTATGGTCTCCTTTGCCATTGCAAAGAGCTGGTGGGAGTTCCGATAACAGACCTTTTGATCCGGTCTATAACTCGCCATTACGCAGCAACAACAGAGCTTACGATCCGGTCCATAATTCGCCACTACGCAACCTAAACTTAGGCTTGACGATTCCCTTCGCAGACATTGTGAGAGCCACAAACAATTTCGACGAGCGGTGGTTGATCGGGAGAGGCGGTTTCGGAGATGTTTACAAAGCCATTCTCCCAGATGGAAGCAAGGCGGCTATCAAGAGAGGCAAGACCGGTTCAGGGCAAGGGATACTGGAGTTCCAAACGGAGATTCAAGTCCTGACAAGAATCCGGCACAGGCACCTCGTTTCTCTGACGGGTTACTGCGAAGAGAACTCGGAGATGATCCTTGTATACGAGTTTATGGAGAAAGGAACGCTTAAAGAGCATCTATACGGCTCTGATTTTCCTTCCTTGACATGGAAACAGAGGCTGGAGATTTGCATCGGAGCAGCAAGAGGGTTGCATTATCTCCACAGTGGCTCAGAAGGAGCGATCATTCACAGAGACGTCAAATCCACAAACATATTGCTAGACGAGAACAATGTGGCCAAAGTTGCGGATTTCGGGCTATCGAAACTCGCGGTTCGTGATCAAGATCCGGTCTATGTGAGCACTAACATCAAAGGAACGTTCGGTTACCTCGACCCTGAGTATCTGCAGACGCACATCTTGACGGAGAAATCGGATGTGTACGCGTTCGGCGTCGTTCTCCTCGAGGTCCTGTGCGCGAGACCGGCTCTCGACCGTCATCTTCCTCACGAGGAAGTGAATCTAGCGGAGTGGGCGATGTTCTGCAGAGACAAAGGGATAATCGATGAGATCCTAGATCCGAAATTGATAGGTCAGATCGAGCCGAGTTCTCTGAGGAAATTCATGGAGATCGTGGAGAAGTGTTTGAAAGAGTACGGTGAACTGAGGCCGAGCATGGCGGATGTGATTTGGGATCTGGAATATGTTCTACAGCTTCAGATGACGCCGATTCACAGAGAGCCTCACGAAGATAGCGCGACGATCTCCGGCGGTGGAGACGGAAGCTCGTTGGTGATTCCGAGGTTGATGGTGAGTGACTCGTTTAGTTCAAACTCGTTTGTTCAGAAGAAGAGCAGCTATGGAGGTACGGATTCATCGGAGACACAGGTTTTCTCCCAATTGAAGATCTCCGAAGCAAGATGATTTGAATTTGATGCTAAGCGTCTCGTTCAATTTGAAATTAAAATCCGGTTAGTGCCGGTTAAAATAGTAATTCTAAAACATATGCAAAAGTTCCGAATCGTATCGAAAGATAAAACCCCAATTGTAGAAATTTGATAAAAGTCTGGTTTATTTTTGAAATTAAAACCCGGTTATTACCGGTTTAAAGATGATAATACAGTTCCAAATCGAAGAACGAGTCGTCAAGTAACGAGTCAGGTGATTGTTGTGATATCGCCGATGAACGAGTCCAGATTCCGAGCCGAAGAACCACCAGGCGCCAACGCCGATCTCGCGGCGTACTTCATCTCCGTCGCTCTCTTTCTCATATCTGCGGCGGCGGGTCCTTCCGTCACGGCTGCAATGCATCTCTCAACCTCTGCGACCTTAAGCTCGCCGTCAACAGCGTCGTTTCTCATCCTCACTCCGATTCCGAACACATCCACAAGCAATTTTGCGTCAAGCGGCTGATCGATATTGTTCGGGTACGCCACCACCGGAACACTAGTCGCCACCGTCTCAATCGTCGAGTTCCATCCACAGTGCGTGACGAAACAAGAGATCGCCACGTGACCAAGTATCCTCTCCTGTGGACCCCACTCAATCACAATACCCTGACCTTCCTTCACCATCTCCTGCAAAACGACGACGTTCTGTCCTTTCTCCATAGGCCTAATCACCCAGAGAAATGAGACTCCTCTGTTTCTCAGAGCCGTCGCTATGCTCTCCACTTGATTCTCCGACGATTCGAGCAAGCTTCCAAAAGATATGTAAACAACGGAAGACCTAGCTTGCTTGTCAAGCCACTCCATACAACCACCATCCGATTTCCACATATCCAGATTTTTTCCATCTAGGGTTTCATCTTCACCATCTCCTAGCAGAAATGGAGAAACCAAAGGACCAATTGGGATCATGGGTTTTAAATCAGACATCGATTCGATTATCTCTGATTCGAGCTCGTAAAACGAATTAACCAAAACCCATTTCACATCTTTCAAGCAATCAAAGGATTCTGCCGCTAGGGTATTGACATTACTTCCTGAAGAAGGCAATAGAAACGAAGGGAGATCTCCGACTTCCAACAATGGTAACGCTGGTAATTGCACTGTTTGTTTCAGATCTTCGAGATCGGGGAAAGCGTTTGTGTTCATGTAGTAACGGTAACAAACCGAGAATGTTCCACAAGCTTCGATCCAGAGGAGTGCACAAGGGATGTTAAATGCAGCTGCAACGCCTGGAACCCATGCAGTAAACGGCACAGTGACGATGCAAGAGAAACTCTTTGATTCAACGATTTTAGACAAGTTCTTGGCTCCGACATTCCTCAATGATGTTATGAGAGAAATCGGGATTCTTGGGTCGTCTTTAGACAGACCGTCGGGGAAGAAAACGAGGTCCACTGGGCTACGGTGTTCTTCATCGGTGGTGGTGGCGGCGGAGAGGAGGTCACCGGCTTGCTCGGTGGTGGCGAGAGTGAAGCGGAGGTTTGGTCGCGAGAGGTGTTTGGCGAATTTGAGCATTGGGTTGAGGTGACCTTGGAATGGTAGTGATACCAATAGGACATGTGTTTCTTGACCCTTACTACTTCCCATTATTAGTATATTTTAATAATATGTTAAGAGGTATTAGACTTGAGTTCTGTCTGAAATTGTGTTGTAACTGTAGTGGTAATGTGGTATATATAACAATGGTTGTTTTTTTTTTGGTCGTGTTCAGGAGACAAATGTCTCCTTCGTTTTATTAACTTCAAATCAGGAACTACAAACGTACAATGGTTGTTTAACGATCGATTTTGCTTACTGGAGATATTCTGTAGTAATTTGGTAACACAATAAATTGTTGCTGAATAGATTCAAAATATACCATGTATAGTATCACCGCCTTGTCTCTATTCAAAACTTTGTAATATTATTGGATAAAAATGCATGTTCTTACCAATTCTACTATGTTCATGGTCAGCAGTCAACTACAACTCTTAATTTATTAATTAATAGGTTTTTTAATTATGTGACACATGATATCTATTTATAATAATAATCTGAATAAATATTATATGTCATTTCAAAATTTATGATTGCATCTTTAAATAGTTAAATTGTTTATTATAAATGATTATGTTTTTTCATTATAATTATAATTTACTTTTTAAAAAATTATTTATATTACTCAAAACCATAATAAATAATTATTTGAGTTTAAATTTTACTTTCTCACTATAATAATTTATCATAAAACTACATTATTTAGATAGCTTATTATAAAAAAATAATAATAAATCTAACATATAATCATTTTCCAGCAATGTTAATAAAAAATATTATCAAATATCGTAAGAGAATCTTACAACACTCAGATAAGTTTGATATTTTTCATTATATTTTATATTTTAGGTGTAAATGGTTTACACATTAGAAAAATAAAATTGAGTGGAACTGACTATTCTTATTTGGTCCTCCAAAAATTTACCATTTAATAGTAATTATTATTCCTATCAATTATAGTGGACTTCACTAAAATAATGAATAATGTCTTATTTTGCAGGATTTTGTTAGTCTACAAAAAAGAGAATACTAAGTTGAAAACAATTAGTGGAAAAATACTTTTATTCTACTTTTGTTGTTTTATTAATCATTATTCTTCTTATTCTATTCATTTGCACATTTTGTTTCATAGCCGTTTAGTAATTTAAATAAATACTATTTGCATTTGCACATTTTGTTTCATAGCCGTTTATGGTTACGTTTTTTCAATATAACTCTTATTCAGATGTTTAACAATTCTTTTTCCAGCTAATCCAGAATAATTTATATTTTTTTATTAATGGTTGCATTTTTTCATTATATAATTTGTGTCTTTTCAAGATTGTTTATATTGTTTAAATCCACATAAAAATATATAATTTGTGTCTTTTCAAAATTATTTATATTGTTTAAACCCACATAAATTATCATTTGATAGTAATTTTTACTTTCTTATTATAATTGTTTATCATAAAAATATAGTATTTAAATAGTTTGCTATAAATAATAAATAATAAATAATAAATAGTATAAAATTTAACATATAGTCATTTTCCAACAATACTAATTAAGAATCATTATCAGATATGATGTTGATTATGGAAAACATCTCACAACCCTCACAACCTTTAAATAAGTTCGTATTTTCATTATATTTTGTTTTATAAACATTTCGAGACTCTTGACAAAAAAAAAATATTTATTAAAAAACAAATTTATCTATGAACATATAGCCAATCAAAAGTTTATTTGCTAAAATATGCGAAATAAATGTAATTAGCCATATTAATATACATACATTTTTACCCCAAAAAATATATAAATACATTTTCTGTTTTGTAATATCTATGAACCAACCATTTAGATGACACCACATGCACAGACTCATAGATAAACATGAGGCACTTGTACGTTACATATTATTTATCTAAATAGTCTTAATCATTACATTGTGATATTTGCACTGAATATGTCAAAATCTATATTATATCAATAGTTGGAGATGTTACACTGGGACATTTTCAATACACAGATGAAGACATTTGAGAACAAAATCGCACGTAGAAATTATATATTTATATGTGTTTAGGTGGCATATAAACAATCGAAGGTTAATTTTCTAAAATAGCACAAATATAAATTCACTATATGTAAATCGAAAGGAAACTGGTTCATAATTTTTAGATTCGAGAAATGTCACAATTTGAAGATTATAAAACCTTACTCTAAAACATGACTTTAGATAGATCAAGCCAAATCTCCTAGGTCAGGTAACATTTCTCGAATCTAAAACAGATGCAAGCGAAGGTTACGAATTATAAAGAACGAATCAGGTGCTTGTGATATCACTGATGAACGAGTCCAAATTTTGAGCCGAGGATCCACCAGGAGCCATCGCCAGTCTTGCGGCATGCTTCAGCTCCGTCGCTCTCCTCCTCATATCCGCGGCTGTAGGTCCCTCCGTCACGATCTCAATGCATCTCTCTACCTCTGCGACCGTAAGCTCGCCGTCGACGGCGTCGTTTCTCATCCTCACGCCGATTCCGAACACATCCACGAGCAGTCTCGCGTCAAGCGGCTGATCCATCCAACTCGGGTACGCCACCACTGGAACACCAGCGACCACCGTCTCGATCGTCGAGTTCCATCCACAGTGCGTGACGAAACAAGAGATCGCTACGTGGCTCAGTATCCTCTCCTGTGGACCCCACTCAATCACAACACCTTGACCTTCTTGAACCATCTCCTGCAAAACGCGGACGTTTTCTCCTTTCTCCTTAGGCCTAATCACCCAGAGAAATGAAGCTCCTCTGTTTCTCAGAGCCGTCGCTATGCTCTCCACTTGACCCTCCGACGATTTGAGCAAACTTCCGAAAGATATGTAAACAACCGAAGACCTAGCTTGCTTGTCAAGCCACTCCATACAATCTCCATCCGATTTCCACAGGTCCAGATTTTTCCCCTCTAGGGTTTCGTTTTCATCCGCTCCCAATAGAAACGGAGAAACCAAAGGACCAATGGGGATTATGGGTTTTACATCAGACATAGAATCGATAATCTCTGATTCGAGTTCGTCAAACGAATTAACCAAAACCCATTTCACATTTTTCAAGGACAGGACGAAATCCGCCATTAGGTTGTTGAGATTACGTCCTGCAAAAGGCAAGATAAACGAAGGGAGATCTCCGACTTCCAACAATGGTAAAGCTGGTAATTCCACTGTTTGATTCAGGTCTTCGAGATCATTGGGGAAAGCGTTTGTCTTCATGTAGTAACGGTAATAAACCGAGAAAGCTCCACAAGCTTGGATCCATAGGACTGCACAAGGGATGTTAAATGCAGCTGCGACGCCTGGAGCCCATGGAGTAAATGGCGCAGTGACGATGCAAGAGAATCTCTTTGATTCAACGACTTTAGACAAGTTCTTGCCTCCGACATTTCTCAATGACACTATGAGAGAATCCGCGATTCTTGGGTCGTCTTTAGGCAGACCATCGGGGAAGAAAGCGAGATCTACAGGGTGTTCTTCGTCGGTGGTGGCGGCGGCAGAGAGGAGTTCACGGGCTTGCTCGGTGGTGGCGAGAGTGAAGCGAAGGTTTGGTCGTGAGAGATGCTTGGCGAATTTGAGCATTGGGTTGAGGTGACCTTGGAATGGTAGTGATACCAATAGAACATGTGTTTCTTGAGCCTCACTACTTCCCATTATTACTTTATTATAATTATAGTTTGGATTAGACTTGAGTTATGTATGAAATTGTGTGCTGTAATTGTAGTGGTATATATAATATAACAATGCATGGTTGTTCAACGATAGATTTTGCTTAACGATGATGGTAAGTGAGACTTTGGTATATGTAATAATCTGGTAACCCAATAAAATTTTACCATGTGTAATATCACCGCCGTGTCTACTGTCTAACCTCAATCCTCAATCCAGAACTTGTAATACTGTTGAAATAAAAATGCATGTTTTTAACTTCTTACCAATTCTAGTATGGCTATGGTCAACAGTCAATTACAACTCTTAATTCATTCATTAATAAAGCTTTTATCATGAGACACATATTATTTATCTTCTATTCTAGTAAGATTTTTTTTTAAAACTAGTTTTGATATGCTGCTACATGTCACTTTATAAATTGATATGTGATATTTCTATATTTTTATTGGATTCTTTTTTATCAAACCAATATAAAAATAAAATTTTGTTATTTTTTCTTTTAATAAAATAAGATTTTTAGAATCAATTCTGATATGATACTACATGTCACATTATAAATTGACATGTGGCACTTTTCTCATTTTTATTATTTTTTATTTTTCATATTTTTATTAGATTTTTTTTATCAAACCAACACAAAAATACAACATTCAGTTTTTTTTGTTTTCTCCACATGATTCTCTTTCATCTTACATAAAAAAGAAAAAAATCAAATCATCTAACAAAATACAAATCTTATATGATAGAATAAGGTCATGATTTAAATTTGTTTTCTCATATTTTTTTTTCTATCTCTGCTGGATTTCTTTAATCAATCAAACACAAAAACAACACTTCAATATTTTTTTTTCATTCTCCACCTGATTCTCTTTCATTATGTTTCATACTTCATACTCCCTCCTTTTTTTTAAAAAAAGGTGTCATTCTAAAGTTTTATTTTTGTTTCACAAAGAGTGTCACTTTACATTTTCAATGCATAGTTTTAAATAAATATCTAGTATTAACCTTTATATCAATGTATTTTATTTTATTTAAATAAATAGTTCCCGTTTTAATTAGAAAGAAAATATTATTTTGTGTGTCAACAAGAGGTAAAACAGAACTATTAATGATGTTCTTAATTTTTGTGAAATATGTCAAAGTGACACTCTTTATGAAACGGAGGGAGTATTGTTTCAGAAGTTTATTTTATTTTTAAGAGCTGACTGTGACATATTTTTACGCAAAAAAATAGTTTCATTTATGTAAGTTTTCTTTGTGGCTAATCGAGCAGAAAATAATACATTATATAGTAAAGTTTTTTTAGAACCATCTCTGATAAGCTGCTACATATCACCTTATAAATTGACATGTGTCACTTTTCTCCTTTTCTCATATTTCTATTGGATTCTTTTCTATCGAACAAATACAAAAACAAAACTTCAGTTTCTTAATCTCTTCTCTTCCCAGTTCTTTTTGATCCAACAAAAGAAACGAAAATCAAATCATATACGATAGAGTAAGGTCATATGTCAAAAAAAAAACATTTGGCCAATCTCTCCTAGATTTTCTTTAATCGAACAAACACAAAACAACGCTTTGTTTTTTTCTCCCTTCTCCACATGATTCTCATTCATTATGTCTCCTACTTCACATTATTTTTGAATATTTTTAACTTTTAAGAGCTGATTATGGTATTATTTATGCACAAAAAATAGTGTCATTTCTGTATGTTTTCTTTGTGGCCAATAGAATAGAAAATCATCCATTATTTGCTTTCATGAAATTATTTTATATTAATGGGTAACTCTTTCCTTCCATACCACATCAAACCTCAAACCACCACTACTATCACAATCTTGATTCTACTCTTCGAATTTTGTTTCTAATCAACCTTGCGTGGTTTCAAATAACAGTAGTAGATACACTTTCCTAGGAGGGTCAAACCTTATTCTATATAAATATTATTATTTCACCAATATTTTAATACAAATTTTTTAAAAATTACATGGTATTCACAACCTAAAAACTAATCTTTATCGATAAACTTTACTAGCAAATATAATAAAATAGATTATAAAATTCATATCGTTAAAATATCACAAATTGGTGCAACGCGCGAACTTCCCCCTAGTTTAAGTAAAATAGTACTATATATTGAGAAAAATGAATTATGAGAAAGATAATGAAAGTTAAAGTAAAACCGGATCAAAATTATTCTCAGTAATTCAATATACTAGAGATTGATCCGTGCGTCGTGTAAAATTATGTATAAATCTAATTCTTAATTTTTTAATTTTATACATTTATTTATTTGTATTATTATTAATTTTTTTATTTATTTATTTTATCTTTGTTTTTGTTTATTTTTTAAATTGAAAATGTTACTTTTGTTTTTTTATTCCAAAATATGTGATACTACTGAAAGTTATTTTTCTAATTAAAATTGAAATGTTTTAATTATTTAAAAAAATATTCTTATACTTATATATTGTTGTAATTATTTATGTCTTTCCATTAAATATATTTATCCAATTGGTTTTTATTTTAATTTTTAACTTACGTTCAGCGAGATGATCAATGTAAAATCACAGCCAATCTCACTCATTATTTCTCTTTCTTATTCAAAATAGTATTCTAAGTTTGTAATTCAAAGAGAATTTACAGAGTTATTTGTTTGTTCACTATGTTTACTTTTTTAATATTTTTTTATTCTTTTTAAATTTTAAATATTGTTTTACTTTTTTAATTATCGTAGATCTTTTATGAAGTTATTTTTCTAATGTAAATTTTAACCTATTTGTAGGGATCGGCTGATCTGTAACCCAATGAATGCTGGTCAATAGGTTCGAAATTAGTTTTGTGTTTCTATATTTTTGTAACATTGTTGGCAAACAAACATTCTTGCTGATTCTGTGATGCTCACAGGATCATTGGGCTGGTTACAAGTTACAATTATAATTAAGTTTTTTCTAAAAATTTATTTTAATGAGGTCTTTATTAAGAAGAAGAAATTGATTGTACGGCATAAACTTGATAGGTTCAAAGTTTCATTTAAATAAAATTGTTGCAAGTGCATAGTAAAGTAGTTGTAATATAAAGGGTATCTAATCATACGAGATTTAAAGTGTCACACAACAGATTTCAGATTCGAATTTAGCTAAGAGAGAAAATGAATATAAAGCAAATAAATAATGAAAATCAGCGGATGATTGATTGTAGATTCTTTAAATCAAGAAGATAAAATGTTAGACTTTGGGAATTTTGCAAGTTGAATTCTAAAATTCAGAATAAAAACTGTCAAAATATTTATTAAAAACTTTTTCTAAAACTCGAAATACAATTATAAAACCAATCAACTTTTGTTGCAACGATTATCTATGTCTAACTCCCATAATCTCAAATTTCTTTGCAAATTCAAATAATTAAGACAAACATTAAAATCAAGTTTGATTGTTCACAAAATCTTTAAACCAAATTTCTTTTCAGATAGATATTTTGTTCATCTAAGATAGTTATGGTGATCAATAATATTTTTGCATTTACTAATCAATCAAATATCTGGTTTTTAGGTGATTACTCCTAAAAACAATATTAAAGCAATTTAGATGAAAAACAAACAGATTAAACTCAACAGTGATTCAATTCTAACAATTTATCATTAATTCCATGTAAAACCTAAACCCTAACTAGCTAATTACTCAGATATGGTGAATAAAGAAAATATCATAGAATAAATAAATTGCATAAAAGAGAAGAATAAGATACAAAGGGGGTTTGGAGTTCTCTCTAAGAACAGAGTATGGATTTGTTTCTCTAAAATCTCATGATCTGATATCTTTCTAAGTCTCAATGAAAATAAGATAATAGCCTAACAATGGCTCTGAAAATCTAAATACAGATTCTAAAACACAAGTGGGGACAAGTTTGTAAATAATGAAATATTTTAAAACTCTACCAAGTCTCACCACGCTGGGTGTCGATCGACACAAATAGGTGGTATCGATCGACACCAAGCTCCAATTTTGTTTCCGAGTTGGTCTTTTCAGTAACAACTCTAATATAGCTTTAGAGTCTCCAAATATGTTCCAAACGTAGTTAAACCTGCAAAGACTCAAAAAGATTCGAAAGTTATAGAAAGTCTTAGGAAGTCTTAAGTAACTATTTTTCAAATGCTTTTTCTTTGACTTACTTACCTAACTAATTTTTTTTTTCTCATATTTTGTAAATATATACATACTTTGATAAAACATTGAGTTTGACTAGTATGTCAAATAAATAACAGAATAGCTAAATAGTTAAATAATAAAATAACATAATCAATAAGATGAAAAACTTGCATAATCAATATGGTTGAATGGTATGTAGTCTTGCACACACAAAAGAGAATGATATGTAATTTTTGTCAGGTTTTCAAGATTTGAAAACATAATACCACTAAATGCATATCATTCATAATAATAAGTACTGAATGATAAAAGTGCTTGTTATTGTGAGTGGAAACATGATACTAATTTTTTAGCGTTTTGAATTTATTTAGTTTTCAATTTATTTATCTTATTGATTCTGCTAATTTATGATTCAGCTACTCCACAATTTTTCTATTAAGTTAACATATCGGTCCAACCCATTATGATGTGAAAACTGAAACCTGAATAAATTGAAAATGCCAAAAAAAAACTATTGGGCTTAAATGGTATGCAACTTTTCATGTCTTTATGTTTTGAAAACGTGATTCCGCTATTTTTTACTATTCATATTATTCATCATGTTTTTATGTTTTTAAAAGTTGATTGCGCTAGCATGTTAAAAATGTAAAATGAGAAAACAAAGTGTGATTAATCTACTAAAGGTAGCTTTTTAGCGTTTTACAATTATTCAGCAAAAAAACTATCCAGTTTAGTTCATCTTGCTAATAATTCTTTAGTTATCTAGTTATTCTGCTATTAATCTGACATACTAGTCAAACTCGATATCTATTTGATGAATAACTTTTTGTCTATTTTAGTTATAAATTTAAAATATACTCTCTCCGTTTTTTATATATGATGTTTTAGAGATTTTTTTTGGTTCAAAAATAGTTGATGTTCTCACATATCTATGCAGAAATTAATTGCATTGTTATTGTTTTACGTGTTTGGATTTTGTATATTATTTTTCAATTGGTTCAATTTTTTAGGAGTTGATGATAAAGCATTTTTGTTTTGAAAAAATATAAAATTAAATGATTTCTTAATCTATGTGTAAAAACTTTAAACATCATATATAAAAAACGGAGGGAGTACAAGATAGATTTAAAAAATAATTTGTTAATTTTTATTTTTTATCATTTTATACTTAATATTGTGAATGATATGTATTTGGCGAAATTACATTTTACAACTATATTATGAATAATACACTCAGTGAAATCATGTTTTCAAAACGTAGAAACTTGAATAAACTAGATACTATTCAAGTTTATTGCCAAACTCACTTTTAGTCATATGACACATATTTTTGATTATATATTGCTTCATAATTTTCTGTAACAACTTTATAAATTCGTTTTGATATCAATGGAACAAAAATAAATTCCAGAAAAGTATTCATATAAAATTGCTAGCTAGCTTAGTTTTGGTAAGAAATCTGGTGTTGCCTCTGGATTTAACACCATAAATTAAGGTCAGCTGCATTGAATATGTTACACAACGTGAACAAAAGCGATTTTTTAAAAAAAAAAATCTGGTCATGGACCATATCAGACCATTCAATTCCTTGTGGAGGGGGATATATATGTTTCGGCTACTACCTAAGAAAACCCAATGTGCCATCCTGTAGTTCCAAAATCCAGTCTACACGGTTTGTTTCTTCGTCTTCCCAAGAACCGACAATAGCTTCTGTTTCACTTCAAACATGGCCCGTTTGTACCAAGCATAGAAACTCATCTTCTCAAACAAGAGCAAATCTTATCGCTATTCACAACGTATTAAAACCATCATGATCACACATACCTTTATCTATTTCGTATGACACAAACAATTAACGCATAACCTTATAGTCATAAGGGACCACAAATACGCTACCAAACCACTCAAACCTTCATGATCACACCTTCATTATTACTCCATAGATGCATACCTTTATACCTAATCCGTACGACCAAAAAAATGCATAATCATATAGTCACAAGGGACTGAAAGCACGCGAACAGACCACTCAACATTCCCTGTAATCTCTACTCCATTTCTATCCAATGCGATCATTGCACACCAAACCTCCCTTTTCTTATCTTCTTCCAAAGAAGAAGGGTTCCGCAAAAACACCAACTTTCCATTGTATTCTCCCATTCTGATATCAAAGGCAGAATATTCGTCGAGCTTCAAGCCTTTAACTAATCTCCAATACTTCTTCTTTGAGTCATACCACATTAACCCAACATAAGAGCGATAAATATATAGCATATTGTCTATCACACACACGTCGTAATTGAACGAATAATCATTTGGTATATCAATCTTCTCACAGTTACCATCTCTCGGATCATAAACTATGACATGTGCAGATTTCCTCACATAAACCTTTCTGTCTAGTGACGGGCTCACCACCGACATCCATAGACATGACCTTTCCAAATTGAAAACTGGCCCGACTTCCGTGACTTCCCAAGTTTGCGTCTTCGTGTCAAACACGTCCGCTTTGATCTCTTCATATTCCACTTCGTACCCTCCAAAAGCGTAGATTTTCTGATCAACTAGTCCCACAGCTGTGAAACGGCGAGCCACTCGCATACTCGGACCCTGATGCAACTTTCCAGATCGGAAATCGAGGATCCAGATGTCCCTGGAAGGGTGATTGTAATAACCGCTGACGAGGTAGATCTCGGGACCAACCATGATAGCAGCAGAGCATGGATTAAGCTGAGAAGGAAATCGGATCGAGACCAAACGACGGTTCTCAGTTAGGGTGAACAAATGATAGGTTAAGGAGGAACCATAACGTTCCCTAAAGCAGACGTAGAAGGAATCTTTTCCCTGAAGGGATCGTGTCTTGCGGAACTCGGAGGAACGTACAAGAGATCTGAAGTTCTTGGAGACGCAAGAGAGAATTGGGTGAAAGCGTCTAGGGACACAAGCTAAGACGGTTAAAAGGATGTCGTTTGGTAACGAGGAAAACGACGACGACGACGACGGTGGTGACTGTGGATGCTCATTGTTTGTTCGCGGTGGCTCGTTAGTGCTGGAAGCGGCGGCAGTGGACATCGTCTTGGAATTTTTAGGGTTTCTTTTTTCCTATTGGTTTTGGGCCTTTTGGCTTTGTAGTCACGAAACCCTAATCATGATATTTATACATCAAAAAACCATTATCAAATAAAATAAAATAAAATAGAGGAAAGTGGATTTTGTTCAACAAAACTTAATAAATTAGCAGACAGATCCAACGACGGATATTCCTCTGGTTTTGTGCGGTTCTGCATATGTATTCAAAACCATTACAGAGTAGAAACGTGAAACACAAGTTAGCTCCGTACATATCAAACCATCTATTGTAACTAGTTTCAGGTCAAGGAAATTAACAGAACAGAGCATAGTCCAATTCAAAAAAAAAAGAAGATAAAAAAAAAAAAAAAAAACAGAGCATAGTTCCAATTCAAGTGTTTGCAAACCACTGAGTTGAGAGAATCTACAAATCGGCCATCATACAAACCAAGAGACCAAGAGATCCGGGACATTAGTAAGTAAACACATCAGATTCATTATCTTTGTTGATCAATATACAGACCACATTATGCAAACAAAACTCATATTCATGTACAATTATGATGATGACTCACAAAGTATCGTTAGGCTCCAACAAATCTCTTTCTCTTTCAATCCGAAACAGAGAGACAACACTCCATTCTATAGCCAAGAAGGACACTCCCCAGAAGCTGAGCCGTCTCAGCAGTCCCATGGATCCCTACTTCACTCCTGCCCAAAGCAATCATTCTACACCAAATCTCCTTCCTTTCACCACTATCACCGCTCGATTCTTCCCACAGAACCGCCATCTTTCCATAGTATTCCGCCATTCCAACGCATCGAATCTTTTTTAGATCACTCAGTCCGTTCACCACTCTCCACAACATCAGCTCAGAGTCAAACCACATCAGCCCGAACCTTGCGTAGTAAACGTAGAGCACGTTCTCCGCCACGCACACGCCCGCTTCACACCAGTCATCGCCCTTTGGCAACTCAAAACTCCCACAAGAACCGTCTCTGGTGTCGTACTGAACAGCGATTTGTTCATGTGACAGTAACGCATAAACCTTCTTGTCCAACGACACAGCAGATTTCGAATGATCCCACGGCCATTTATACTCAGGATCCCGCGCTTGTTCCCAAGTTTGCGTCTTTAGGTCAAATGATTCCGCTTGAATCTCGTCGCCTCTAAAGCCTCCGATCACGAATATCTTGTCACCGACTAAACCCGCGGTATTGGACAATCGATCCTCCATCATGCTAGGCCTCGGCGAAGTTTAATAGATCGGGTTTTAAAGATCAGAAACCTTGACGAGGGTTTGTATGCTCCGCAGATAAAGAAAATCTCCGGACCAATCGCGATCGCCGAAGGGTTGGGATCGTAATCGTAAGGAAACACGAGATTGGCGGCGGCGGCGAGCTGATTCTCTGTTGGGTAGTTCTCGATCCTGCGGAGGGTGAACCAGTATCTGTGGAGATAGAACCAATTTAGGGTGTTCCTGCGAGTGTTTTGGTCACTGAAGCAGATGTAGAGCGAATCTTTGCCGAGGAGAGACCTAATCCGGTGAATCTCCGGCGAACGAACAAGGTAACAGAACTTCTTGGAGACGCACGCGAGGATTGGGCGATAGCGTTTCGGGACGCGGACTAAAATGTTCCAGGCTATGTCGATCGGCAGTGAGGAAAACAATGACGGCAACGGTGGTTGGTTGAATGCTCGCGGCGGCGGCGGATCATCGGCGTTAGAGGCGGCGAGTGAAGGCATCATCGAGATTATAGTTAGTTATATAACAATTCGACTCTAATTTATTAAGCCGAAACGATGAGATTAAAAGTTTGTATTAAATAAATATTAGCTTTAGACTTTAAATAGGTGTGAGTCTCCACTGCCTCTAATAATCACATTTTCTGTCAAATAATTTGTTTTATTTTCTTAATCTTTATAAACAAAATTGATGATTGTTATTGGTTTTGTGATTTGGATCCAAATCATACTTTTTCATTTATGTCGTAATCATACTTTTTCAATTTATTTATTTTTGTCAAAAAATTTTCTTTAAGGTCTAAATATGACTAACTTATGTAATTATAAATGAGATAACTATGTTTATAGACAGGTTGCACACTTTCAGCTGGTGACGCACTTTTACTAGATGCAAAGATATTTACAGATGCAAAAACATTTATATACTTATTTTGTTTTTCATTCTTTCTTCATTTTTTTTTTTTTACCAATTCATCTATGTTGCAAGAAAAATGTAAATGAACTCCTTTCATGGTGGATCGATGGCGAATCTATCTTTTCTGATGGACTTCTCTTTTTCACATCTGCAAACACCATTAAGTATTCTTCCATTTATCCAACAACTAATCTAATTTCAATTTTATCGTCCATCAATTGTTCTCGTTCTTGATTTTTAAGAGTTGGATGATTTCCCACAAATCCAAAATTAGATCTGACGGAATTTCATATGTCATAACAACCATTGATGATACAGATTTGGAACAAGAAATAATTTTGAATAAGGTATATGATGGACAAGAGATGGCGATGACATTATCCACACTAGCGATGAATCTATCAATGTACATGTTAACGATAGCTTGTAGATTAGAAACTGAATTTTGCAAACTGATTATAAAAGTGTTGATGCTTTTGGTGGAGAAGACGATGATGGAACAATTCACTACAATGAAGTGTACATATGGATGGTTTGACATGAACATATGAATTTAGAGTATTTAAATGTTAATAGTTGTACTGGTTACAATTTGATAAACACAAACAGAAATGATACAACTACATGGACACACTTTAGTGGATACAAAGCATGGACACATTCATATAGACAAATTCTCAGGGATGAAAACAGTAGGGACAAGACTATGAAGATGTGATACAAAAAGAACACAGTTTGATGGACACTTATGTATGGATGAGGAGATCCAAATTATGAAATTTTGGTTTTAGTTTCAGACAAAACTCTTTCTTAAAAAATCAAATAATGACGTGCATGATCTAATAAAAAGTCACAAACCATAGACTTTGGAATTTTGAACTTTAGAATTCATACAAATATTTTTATGCACAATTAGTGACTTTGAAAGTGGACTACAATATGCCGCACATGGACAAGCCATCGTGGATAGCATATGATGGACAAGTAGTGTGAATACGTGATGTCGTGGACAAGTTGCGGTTGTGGACATGATGTCGTGGACATGGTAGCATAGACATGATGTCATTGCTTTCCATATACACGAACATCATATGAACAAACACTTTGAAACATGGATAAGTACGATGGATAACCGATCATGGATATGTACTAGTAGACATAAATAATTAGTCAATAATGAAGCTTTAGATTTTTTTAACTATATACAATTTCAGTGTGGACAATCAAATATGGACGAACATGCATAACTAAGTTGTGTTTTTATTCCAACTATCCATGTATGGGTGGATATAATGCATCTTGAAGCTTCAAGTTGTTTCTCAATGGGTGGATATACAACAGGTGGATATAATTTATTGATATGTACCAAACTCTTACCACCTAAACCATCAAAGCTCGTGTAGAATAGACACTACTTACCTTCTTCCAAAAATAAGTTTTTTGTATCTGTTCATGAGAGGGTGTCTATACAATATGTCCACGCGCCTTCATCCATAGGCAACATTTACAAGTCCACTGCATAGTTCTATGTACACTTGTATCTATAGAAACTCTATACACAGAGAATGAAGTTTATAGGTTTCTCAATTTTAGTTTGTATTCACGAAACAGTGTTCACGAGGCTTCGCACATATGTATTATTGTATTTTGAATTTGTGGATGATTTAGCATGGACATGATGATCGGAAAAACCAAATTCTCAAATGTATCTTCGAGACCAAGCTCCAATTTTGTTTTCGAGTTGGTCTTTTCAGTAGCAACTCTAATATAGCTTCAGAATCGAAGATATTTTTCAAATCTTTTTGAGTCTTTGTAGGTTTAGGTATAAACCTACGTTTGGAACATATCTCAATGACAATTACCAAATCACAAGTTAATTTGCTAATATATATGAAAGTAAATGTAGTTAACAAAATTACTATAAATACAGTATGTGTTTCGTAACATCCATGAACCATTTAGACATCACAGTGTTAAATATGAAATGAAATACCGAAACAACAAAACATTTTACACATTAGTGCTTAACGGTTAAGAGTGTATTATGTGTGTTGTGGGTTGGTTTTGGTTTGAAAATGGAATGAGGACCTCCATACAGAACGTCCAAGGAGGATTTGGAGAGTTGATTAGGAGATTTCAAAAAAAATGTGAAATAAGATTTCTGACGGAATTAGACCGGTTAAGAATATTTAGATTCGAGAAATGTCACAGACTGAAGATTTTTTTACTCTAAAACATGATTCATGTAACGACTCAGGTGATTGTGATATCATTGATGAAAGAGTCCAAACGCTGAGCCGAAGATCCACCAGGAGCCATCGCCAATCTTGCGGCATGCTTCAGCTCCGTCGCTCTCCTCCTCATATCCACGGCGGCGGGTCCCACCGTCACGGCTTCAATGCATCTCTCTACCTCTGCGACCGTAAGCTCGCCGTCGACGGCGTCGTTTCTCATCCTCACACCGATTCCGAACACATCCACGAGCAGTCTCGCGTCAATCGGCTGATCCGTCCAGCTAGGGTACGCCACCACCGGAACACCAGCAACCACCGTCTCGATCGTAGAGTTCCAACCGCAGTGCGTGACGAAGCAAGAGATCGCCACGTGGCTCAGTATCCTCTCCTGAGGACCCCACTCGATCACAACACCTTGTCCTTCTTGAACCATCTCCTGCAAAACGCGGACGTTTTGGGATCTCTCCTTAGGCCTAATCACCCAGAGAAATGAGACTCCTCTGTTTCTCAGAGCCGTCGCTATGCTCTCCACTTGATTCTCCGACGATTCGAGCAAGCTTCCGAAAGATATGTAAACAACCGAAGACCTGGCTTGCTTGTCAAGCCACTCCAGACAACAATCATTCGATTTCCACATATCCAGATTTTTCCCATCTAGGGTTTTGTCTTCATCAGCTCCCAGTAGAAATGGAGAAACCAGAGGACCAATTGGGATTATTGGCTTGAGATCAGACATCGACTCAATGATCTCTGATTCGAGTTCGTAGAACGAATTCACCAAAACCCATTTCACATCACTCAAGCAGTCGGCGAAGTCCGCCATTAGCTTATGGAAGTGACTTCCTCCAGAAGGCAAGAGAAACGAAGGGAGATCTCTGACTTCCAACAATGGTAAAGCTGGTAGATCCACTGTTTGATTCAGGTCTTCGAGATCTTCAGGGAAAGCGTTCGTCTTCATGTAGTAACGGTAATAAACCGAGAAAGCTCCACAAGCTTGGATCCATAGGATCGCACAAGGGATGTTATGAGCAGCTGCAACAGCAGGAACCCATGGAGTGAAAGGCGAGGAGATGATGCAAGAGAATCTCTTTGATTCAACGATTTTAGACAAGTTCTTGCCTCCGACATTTCTCAATGACTCTAGGCGATTCTCTTCGACTCTTGGGTCTTCTTTAGGCAGACCGTCGGAGAAGAAAGCGAGGTCCACCGAGGCGCTATGGGGTTTGTCGCCGGAGAGGAGTTCACGAGCTTGCTCAGTTGTGGCCAAAGTGAAGTGGATGTTCGGATGTGAGACATGTTTGGCGAATTTGAGCATTGGATTGATGTGACCTTGCATTGGTAGTGTCACCATTAGGACATGGGTTTCTACACCTTCAGAACCTCCCATTGTTACGAATATTTTGCTTTTTTGAGTTTTGCTTTTTTGAGTTTTGCAAGAATTGTGAGTTAAACTTCAAGTAGTATATAAGCTGATGATTGTGTAACGATAGATATTGCTTCATGAAGACAATAAATTAGATTTGGAAGGAAATCTATCTAGATTTACTAGCAAAGAAGAAGAAGAAGAAAAAAAAAAAGGAATCTTTCTAGAGTTATTGCTATTTGACTATTTTAATATAATGTTCATTACTTCAGAAGTAACAAATCTTCTCTTATTAACTAAATTCTTTAGTAGTGGGATACATGACAAAATATGTGTCCAAAAACTTAATGGGATTTTAACATGTGTCTAATACGTATATTTTCTTTCTTAATAAAGTCTTTATTATATTCTTTAACAAAAATGAAAGTTTAGAATTTTGTTAAAATACTAAAAAGTATAATTAGTTTTAACTAAAAATTTACAAATTTATTGTTTACATATTTTTATATTTTCCATATTTTTTTACATGAGTTTTTTAATTTCTATATTATTTGTTATATGCGATTTATAAAACTTGCTTTTTCACATTAATTTATATGTAAAATCATTGAGTGTAATTACGCGTGAAAAATTATCGCATCTAGAACTTTTTACAATTTTGTATGCATTTCAAAGTTACCAAAAAATTTGATGCAATAAGAATAAATTAAAAGAGTTTCAAAATTTTTCATTTAAAAAAAAATAGTTAAACTACACATTCATTAGTAGAATATCTTAGTTATATTTTTAGCGCCGAAAAAATTAAATATATTTTGTATAAGTTCAAATAAAGTTAGACCTAGTTAAGCCGAGTGATTGTTTTTTTGGACTGGTTTTGGTATATGAGAATGATCGTTTGATATTTGGAGGACGTTTATTGTTGTGGATCCTAAGAAATGCAAGGTTGTTCGTGAATCGTGATATCTAGGATTGTTGCTAGATTAGAAATTGATTGGCTTTAATCTGAAGTGTGTCTCGGAGTTGAGTAACTCCGATTAAATGTAACATTGCGGTTATCTTAAACAATTTCTAATAGAGCTAAGACTTGACCATTTCAATCCTGAAAATTTGTATATCCCTGGTTCTTTTACCCATAAACTCTATTCAAGAACACTGAAGAGAGATCTCTCGGGGGTGATTCATAATCAAAATAAAATGGAGGATACAAAAGACAAAGTAGTGGTAGGAAAATGATCTACTAAAGTCTTTGTTGATAAATAGCAAATCCGGCCAAGACTGAACCAGTAAAAACTGAAGGCTTTATATTACGTGCAAGTCAAATCCTGATTGGCTTTTTTTGTGTGTATGTTTGTGTCTTTTTTTATTTTTCACTCAAATTCTTATATTAATCAGACCCGAACCAGGTTTGGTACAATTGATCTTAAGGCGTTTTTTACTAACTTATCTACTCGAGTCAGGTTTTCTCTACCAACAAAATGAAACGAAATGGATTCAAACGATAAAGAGAGTTTTGAGATGTCAGCGATTATCCCGTGAAGGTCAGAGATACTCCCGCCCTCTTTGATTGCTGAAATGAGTCTTCGAGTCTGATTCGTATATTAACAAATCTCAGTAGATTTAACCTACCAAACACAATTACCTGTTTATCAAAACAAAACCGTGGACTCAAAGTCTTCAGCATTTGTTGGATAGCAAAAGAACGGTAGATATTAAGTCGCAAGTCAATGTACAAGGTAAAAACGCGTTTAGCGCTGGAATTTAGTTCTGGTGCGTACGATGCTTCACTTTATTTCTTTATAAAATATAGATAGCCTTGATGCAATGTAAGTTGTGCACAAAGTAAGTTAGCTAAAATGGCAAAAGAGAAATCATATGTAATTGCTCTTCTTCTATCTTTGCTTCTATGTCTTTCTTCTCAAGTTGGTGTCGCCGAGGCCAGACGCCACACAAGTTAGTATATATTTTCTTCTACGAATAATTAACACACTTGTATTAATTCAGTTGTTCAAGTTACACGTACTATATATGTTGTTTATAGGTGCTTCAATACTGGCTTCAAATTTTGTTAGCATTTGCGTTTACGTTTTAATAATGAATACACGATCTTAAATATTTCAAGCAAATTCCTTTTTCATTGTACTCGTAACCTTTTGTTTACATTTGCACCCTTTTTATGTTTGCACTTTACAAATTATTTTATAAAAAGTGAATAATGCATGCTCTAAATTGAAAAGAATGCAAAATATTCATTTCCATCGATGTATTATATATATACCGTATGCCCAAATGTAATTTGTGAACCATATCGGCCTCTACTCCGAAAAAAGAAAGTTCGTAAGTATCTAATGAAACCACTTCCAAAAAAAACGAGTATCTAATGAAATTACGAAACCAATTTCAATATTAAAAAAAGCATCATCTATATACTACATGTGGAAGTTATACAGATCTAATATATTTTAAATGCTAAAATATGCAATTGTTTTTAGTTTATAATTTCCTAAAAGTAACGATGTTTTTTTACATTTTTCCCCCGAAGTTGTCATAAAATGTTGGCTCATGAAAGGATTCTTAATCGTTTTCATGTATAAGATTTTGTAAATTATACTTAATAAAAACTTTACGGTATACTTGAAGTTTTGTGGTTTTGGTTGTAGTTTCAGAAATCCACACATGGGTGTTTTACAGTATATATACCAACGCAATTCTATCTGTCACATTTTATGTTTTTAACTTTCTTTTCTAGTTACTACCGGGTATTCGGATTCTCGATGTGCAAATGAATTTCCAGCAAACCCACCACCACCAGGTAGATGTCAGATGTGTGAACTGAAATTCAAACCAAATTGTTTGTATACAGTTATGCATGATTCAAATGTGCATGGTGTTACTAACTAACCCATCAAAGTTCAGTGTAAAGTTTGTTAAAGAACCTAGTCACATCTATCTTACCAGGAGACGTCCATTTCCCTCCGGTAGTGACTGCACCGAGATCAACGTCACCCAAAGGAAAAGGCCCATAACTCCATTAGTGCTGAAAGTTTGAAGAAGCGACGGGGAGTCAAAAAAAAAAAAAAAAAAGTTTAACATGGACTTGCTTCTATGTTAAATATCTCAAATTTTACGTGGATGTAAACGTAAAATTAAATAATTATGTGTAAACTTTTAAATAATGAAAAGCAATTTATGAACTTTATGCCGTAAATAATTTTAAAATTTGCAACTTTAAATTACTATTTGATCAAACAAAATATTGGTAATTTGAAAGATTAACGGAAGAAAACTATATACAATAAAATTTCTATAAATTAATAATATTGGGACTTCAAAATTTTATTAATTTATAGAGTTATTAATTAATAGATAAATTATTAATTATTAATTTATCAATAAATTAATATTTTCGGTTTGAATTCTTAATGTTCATCAGAATAACAAAAACCAATATTTTCAACAATACAAAATTCACATAGAAAGTATAAATATATATAAATATATAATTATTCATTTACGTAATAATTGGGATTATATTTTTATATAGAAGTTTCAAAAAAAATATTATCTTATTATCTTATCAAAATTTGCTAATTTTTACACTGACATAATCTGGGACTGATAAAATTTATTAATTTATAATAATTTTTAATTTATCGAATATTAATTTATAGAGGTTATACTGTATGATTATTTTTAATAAGAATATGAGTTTTTTTATAAACAATTTTGAAGGTGCATGAATCCGATAGATGAGACCACTTCCGATATAGAACTTAAGGATGTTTGAGAACAAAGTATAAAGAATAACTATTTTTATTAGCCTTAGAAATTAACTCGAAACTAAAGCTTTCAATTTCAAACTCATCTCAAACTCATGAGTTATGTCATAGTTTGACATCTCCTTATATAGAGAAGAACCTAAACAAGTTTCTTTTCTCTTTAGAATAATTTCTTTTTCTTATTATAATTAGATATCTCCCAAGTATAATCTCTAATCCTAATCTCTTTAGGAAGTCTTCAAGCTTACACCAACATTCTCCCTCCAAAGCTTGAAGTCATCTTTAACCAAGTCCTTTATGCCAATGAGATCTCTCATTTCTCTGAACTTGATTCTACCAAGAGCTTTTGTCAGAATGTCCACCTTCTGCTCATTCCCGAGAACATCTTCGACTTCTACTTGACAATTTTCGACACATTCCCTTACACAATAAGATAGGTCCGGTCTCGTGTGAAGCAAGTAACGAAGACATCCGATAATTTTCCTATAACTCGTGGCATCAATGTCTTGTTCCTCAGGTAATTTCGACAACTTCAGACCTGCCTCCATTGGTGTATAGATTGGGTTGCAATCTTTCATTCCGGCCTCCTCCAGAACCTTTAAGGTATATCGATTTTGGTTTAGATTTATTCCATCATTGAGTTGGAACACCTCAATTCCCAAATAATAAGTCAACCTTCCGAGATCGCTCATCTTGAATTTAGATGCTATCTCTTTCTTGAATTACTCTATGACTCATATATTTGTTCTTGAAACAAATAAATCATCGACGTATACCACAACGAGAAGAGTATCCTCCTTTACCCTTTTCCGATATACTGATGGTTCCTTAGAGCACTTCTTGAACTGGAGTCCTCTGAGGATTTGATTTATCTTATCATTCCATGCTCTCGGTGCTTGTCGCAAGCCATACAAGGCTTTGCTAAGCTTGTAAACTTTATATTTGCTTATGAAATGGAAAAAAATAAGGTTTAAAATGTATTTATTTAATAGTTATATGAGCTATAGATTTATTATATGTGTTATGAGAATCGAAAATAATTTTGTAAACACATCGAGTTTTTTTAAAAAGATAATATGTTACTGATTTTATATGAAACATGTGTTCTTTTGTATTAGATTTTTTTACAGGTTTGAATGTTTAGTTGTAATTTTTTTAAACACACTATTGTTTTCATTTAGAAATAATTATTTCTTATGATAAAAACGTATTTAATTTTTAGTAAGAATATAATTTATCTTTAATTTA